GCCACTACCACTGGGCGCAATCTTGTTAGCTATTGATGTTAATGTAGACACTAGATATTAATCGAGCTCTAAATGCCACACAGGGACACAAGCATGTATATCAAACAAGCTATTAATCAAGCTCTAAATGTCACACAGGGACACAAGCCTAGCTATCAAACAAGCTATTAATCAAGCTCTAAATGCCACACAGGGACACAAGCCTAGCTATCAAACAAGCTATTAATCAAGCTCTAAATGTCACACAGGGACACAAGCATGTATATCAAACAAGCCCATAATTATTGATCCCAAACTGAAGGGGAGGATCTTCAACCTGTTTGTTAGAACAGGGAATGATTACTCTCTTCCAGTAAACAGTACAAAGTTACTATATCAACTAGTTTATTTTTGGGTTATGTGTTACAAGTTAAACTTAATAGACTTGACTACAATTTTAGTTGTTATCTATTTCACATGATTAAGGCAATCATGTTATTTATTAGAGCAGAGCTGAAATCAGAGTAATAATATACAACATACAGCAGGTTTACAGAATATCATGTTTTCATGATAATTGCTACAAATGGAGGGGGGAAGAAGTGGTTGAATAATAGGGTTAATTTATCCCTTATTTTCAATCATACCACCTCTTCATTTTTCAGCAGTGCTCCCAGCTTCATAACCTCTACTGCAGGCCTCTTCCAGTTCCTGAGCCTACCCCAGTCCAATGTGATCCTGTTGATGAGAGCTGCAATGGTGGGAGTGAGACGGAACATCAGGATGGCCACGATGCATGATACCAGGATGGCAAGATACTCTATTGCAAGGCTGATCAATATTAACTCCTTGATTAGGTTGAACTACATTGAGACAAATCCTAATGGGTTGAGAATGTTCAACATTTCTGATTCTAATGTTGAAGACATTTCCCAGCATGTTAGATGAACCGATAGCATATTCTTTCATAACTCACAGTTCAGGATCTTCTGGTGGGAAGATTTGATAAAGCTTGGAAAACTATTACAATTATCCCAGGATTGGAGCTCAGCAGGGATATATAGGGGGGTAATCTAATCCTTAACTATCTTGGAAAATTTCTCATGGAAATGAGTGAATCTCTCATATTTATGGTGACCCAGACATGCTTTGTGGTTTCTACTATCATAGGGAATTGATCGGAGGATGAAATGATCTTAAGGATGTACTGTCATAACCAGGCTATCAAGATTGGCGTAGTGAATAGATCCTAGTATGATAACAGATGCGGCATGGATGCAAAAGGATATCTCTGCCAATGGAACCTCGGTCTAGAATCAGACATCAACAAAGAACATCAGATCTTACAGAACACAGAAACAACAGAGAAATCAGCAACAAGGAGAATCCTTGCGGAGATGGCATGGAAGGGATCAAAGTCAATGAGTCAACGAGATATTCTGTTTGTATCATATGAGGATCTAGAGGACAATCTAGATGACTTAAATCAACCTAAAAGATGCAGATATGGCATCAATTGCCTGTTAGGACAATGCAACTGCATGAAAGATGATGGAAATATACCTCATTTTATAGAGTAACTCTGTTCTGTTAACTATGAGAGAGTAATCCTTTCCTCTTTTGATAAACTGGCTGGAGATTGTCCCCTTTAATTTGAGATCGATAAGTAATAGCTTGTTTGATAGCTAGGCGTGTGTTCCTGTGTGACATTTAGAGCACTTGATCGTCCCCTTTAATTGGGGATCGATAAATAGCTTGTTTGATAGCTAGGCTTGTATCCCTGTGTGGCATTAAGAGCCTGGATTAATAGCTTGGTTTGATAGCTGCCAAGATGGCGCCCAGTGGTAATGGCGTTGATATCTACAATGCTCAGTATCAATGTATAATGTTTTTAAGTATAAGTTTATAAACATAGATTGTTAACAATATACAACATCATTCAGCAGGTTTCCAGAATATCATGTTTACACGATATTTGCTACATATAAGCCTTGTTAGTTATACCAGCAGTGCCTGAATCAAAGATTGAGTAAAAACGATTACTTATCCTTTCCTCATTGACAAGCTAAACTTTTTTATGTTTCATAATTTGATTTAATTATGCCTTTAATAAAGTAAAGTAAAAATGTATTAAAATAAAACAAATGAGGCTAAAATTGCAAACTTTGAACACGGTATTTATGTGTTTATTCCGAACACCAACTTATTTAAATCTAGAAAATGTTTAACAGTTTCACATACACTGAATAAATTTACTAAACTTTAGCCGGAATGGGGAAGGGGGGTCATTGTTGGGATATATGAAATTTCTTAAAATGCTATAAGTTTGTATATACGGTAGTGTTAATCGAAAACGCCTGAACTTGATATTGACAGCGGAAAGTTTTAATTTGAAGCCACTGCGTGGTTGATCCGTAAAAACCTCTAATATTTCCTTTATATATCAATCAACAGCTGAATTGAGAGTAGAGTTTTGTGGCTTCCATGATTGGTCGATGTTTCCAGCAAACGACGCTCTAATTGACTAATCCTCAGACTATAAAGGATTAGGATTAGTGCACTGAGATAGGATTTATTATAAAAGTTATCTTACTTCAGTAAAAACATTATTTCAAGTGCAAAAAAAAAGTATTTGCCCCACTTTCTTAATTGAAAAACTTACAATAAACCAAAGTAAAGTTTTTTTAAACAAAGGTTTTGTAAGATCTGAATTGGTTTACATTCATTATTATTTGATATTATTGGCTTCCATTGTAAATCTTGGTTTATCAATCATTTGTTTTCATTGGTTATCATTGGTTATCATTGGTTATCATTGATTTTCATTGGTTATCATTGGTTATCATTGATTATCATTGATTATCATTAATTATCATTGGTTATCATTAATTATCATTGGTTATCGTGCCTATACTGCATATTGAGATCAAGTGTTCAAGATTAAGGAATAGGATACTCCTAAGAAAAGTTCTTATCTCTGGTTGGAATAGCGTGATTTAGGAACGATGTTTGTCCAAGGGAACTAAAACTTTTAAAGTTTTCTAATGCTTCTTCAGATGTTTTCTTACAATTACGAAGTTGGAAAGATTTCTTCGAATCCGTACAGAAATTATTAATTATTGCTGATGAAAAGTACATTCTCTATCAGTTCATGGTAAAAAGTCGTATTTATGCATTGGCATCAAGTATTTCAAAAGTTAACTCATTCATAAGAATTCAAGGTTTTTATATTCTTTCTTTTTAATGCATGAAACATTTTTTACAGTTATATACTATTTCAAGTTTTTCATAGTTATAATTGCTTTATAGAACATTTTTCTGTTATGGAACAGGCCTTTATATTAGTAAACAAGACATATATTTAATATAACTAAATAAAGAAATTTAGATTTTTCACAATGTCAATTAATTAATATTGAAAAGGACAAATTATTTTTGAGATAAGAAGTGCCGTGACTCATGATTAAAGCCGTTGGCTAGTTTTGGTACATATATAAAGCCTTTTTCCTTGTATAGTTAATTTTTAAGCTCTGCACTTCTTTCAACTGTTGCCTTCCAAGCCGCAAATTTTCTTCGTCCAGTGTAAAACTAGCAATTTCGTGGAATTTTCTTTAGATGCATTATTTCCAGAAAAAAAGACTAAATCGAAACTTTTCAATGTTAAACTTTAAAACCTTCCCTGGGGTCATGTGACATCAGGGAAGGGTTTTTTATGTTTGTCGTTTATTGGATACATGTAGAGAAGGACCGTCTTCACTTTTTTTGAAAAACGATCGTTTCGGAACAACCTTTTAAAGAAAAAATACATTTTTGAGTTGGAAAATCGTTTTTTGAAAGTTCAAAACGAGTGGTTCTTTTTCAAAAACTATCAGTTTTTTTCTAAACCCGAAACGATAGTTTTTAGAAAAAAAAATTAAAACGTAACGAAAACCCCTAGATATATACAAACAAACCAACAAACAATCCAAATATATAAATAGATTTAGAGTAAATTCAAATGATCATGATCAATATGAAAATCTGTGGAAAATATTCACAAATTCCCTGATAATTGAAGGAACAATTGGTACCGGGCAATATTTTTCTTATTCACACCGTTTTGGTAGGATTGGGCACCTTTCAACTTTTAGTTCGTTAATCTTTCGTTCATTTCGAAAATCTAATTTCGTTAAAATGTGTTCCATGAACAAAACGTAGAAAATAATGTTAACTTTTGCCTAGCTAGCATAAAGTTAATAAGTCATTTTTTTGTGTGGGGGGGGGGAGGGGGCATTTAAAACTAGGAATTTAAAAACTAATCAATATTAAGGACATGTTTTGTGTGCCAATTTTACTGTGTAATTTCAAAATATAAAAATATGAAAATACTTTGAATGATATCGTCGTTATTTTTTGCTTAGAAAGTGCTTGATTCTGTTGACAATTTTCTTCTATAAAAAATAATCAATTCTTACAGTTAAAGCATGGTTATATCATTATTTCTAGATCATACTAAGCTTGAAAGGGTATTGATAAGCATCGGACGTGCCTATTCATTAATGTCTATTTTCCCATCTATATCTTGTTTTTAATGCCATTACATGTCAAACTTGTAAAACTTTAGACATTTTCCCTATCGCAAATTGATAATTTTGTCAAGTTATTTTAATCAAATCAAAAACCAAATACAATTGAAAACCATGTTGCTTAACCTTTTGAAAATAAACAAAATAACAAGACCTTTCATCAAATGTGCTTAAGTGTAAGTTTTTTTTTTGTCTATATTGGCATCGTTTTTTTATGAATATGTGCTTACAAATGTATCACAAAAAAACCGACGTGTATCAATCTGGTAGCTTAAAAAAAGCAACAACAAAAAGAAAGCAATGGAAGTTTTAAGTTTTGATCATTCTTGGTCTCAAGAACATGCAAGATAAACTGCTTAAGAGTTTTTTATCCAAAAATGTGGGCGTTCTGATTTTTTTATTTTAATCAATGGCAATCTCATCAAATTTTCTGTTTCTTTTTTCTCAAAACATATAAAATTTTAAATCTGTTATATTTTTATTAAAGAAGACAAGAACAGGGTTAAGAAGAAGAACTAGAGTAAACTAATACAAGATAATACAAGAACAAGAATTAAACTAACTGCAGCTGATCTTGTGTTCCCTGAAGATGGTTTAGGTTTCCCTCCTGTTCCTGGTTTCCCAGTTACAGGTTTCCCTGTTCCACCAGTTCCTCCTCCAGTTGTTCCTGTTCCTCCTGTTGTTGATCCTCCGGAGCCTCCAGAGCTTCCAGAACCTCCGGTTCCTCCGGGGGTTGAAGTTCTAGAGGTCGTCCTTTCATCTTCCTTCACCCTATCTCAATATACACATATAGTAATATTTATAAAGTCGGAGTTTCAAACTGAGTTAAAATTTAGAAATAAAACTGGATTGAAATAAATCTAATTCAGGGAATAAAACTAAAACTGGATTTAAAGGTTCACTTTCTAGAAACCTGTTAAAAGTTACTAATCCTTTAGAAACCTGTTAAAAATTACTAACCCTAGAAACCCTATTAAAAGTTCCTAACCCTAGAATCCCTGTTAAAAGTTACTAACTCTATAAAAACCAGTTAAAAGTTACTAACCCCAGAAACCCTGTTAAAAGTTGCTAACACTAGAAACCCTGTTAAAAGTTGCTAACACTAGAAACCCTGTTAAAAGTTAGAAACCCTGTTAAAAGTTGCTAACACTAGAAACCCTGTTAAAAGTTGCTAACACTAGAAACCCTGTTAAAAGTTACTAACCCTAAAAACCCTGTTAAAAGTTACTAACCCTAGAAATCGTTTGCTCATTATCATCAATAATGTTTATTTGCTTTTTCATTAAAAATATAAATGATTACTCTCCTGAAAATCGAATTTTCTAATCCTTTTTCTTTGCAACATGATGGTGTAAAATTTTGATATGTCAAATCTAGACTTGCTAATCTGGCAGAATTCATAGTTTTTATAAACCATCAGGGTTCAAAGATCTATGGATTATATTTTGAGGCAAATGTCTGAAACATTTTTCCGGTTTTTTATCTTAAAATGTTACTTTATCGCTGGTAGAAACTAACCTGCACTGTTCACTAAGATCCATTGTTCCAACGCTCCAGTGTGCTGTCTTGTGAACCCAGAACAATTCAGAATCTGCATTAAAGAATTTAAATTAAACGAAATGTTCGCGATAGCATTGGAAAGGAACCAATGTAAATGATGCCTGATGTTTTTGTTTAGATAAATTGATATAAACTAATTCTCAAATATTTAAGACCGAAAGTGTGTTCTTTTGTCATTATGTATGTTCAAAATATGTTCAAAATATGTTCAAAATATGTTCATAATATGTTCAAAATATGTTCAAAATAAGTTCAAAATATGTTCAAAATATGTTCAAATGTTCAAAATAAGTTCAAAATATGTTCAAAATATGTTCAAAATATGTTCAAAATAAGTTCAAAATATGTCCAAAATATGTTCAAAATATGATCAAAATATGTTCAAAATATGCTCAAAATACAATCATTTGTCTTGGGTTAATTTAGTTTACCCAAAATAACTTTTAGTTGACGTGTAGTGCCCGCCATTTCTACAGAAACTTTATTTGCATTTCAGAATTTGGCATCTTTCATTCAAAGAACCTGTATAAACCAGTTTGTTTTTCATCTTTTATAAAGCTTTTGTATTTGATTATTAAAATATTGAATAAAACAAACAAAATGTCGCCAAACTATTGACTTTTGTTTCTTGAATTCTGAAAAGTCTTTTATAAGGATTTCATGCACACACGGTAAACTGCCAAATGAGTGCTGCGCTAATTATTAAAGACGATTCACAATATAAATATGTTTATTACTCCCTCTGCATGTACCTTGGTAGGTAAACAGGCTCTCCGTGTTGATAGATTTATTCTCCATTCTTTCAAAGAAATTCTCAGACTAAAATAAAAATAATGAATTATGAAAACGTATACAAGAATAAATTTTCCGGTTTATTCACATTTGATCATATTTAATCCAGTTTTGTGCAAAACATTTAATCTTTTTCACAGAATTTAAAAAGATCAGGTTTAAGTAGATAAAATACAATATAATGTCCTTATCTCAGAAGTTGAACTCCTTGATTAAGAAGTTTGCTAGTTCAGCAATGGGAATAACTATATTATTCATAAGTTCGCGGCTCGAAATGCCAGGAGGCGTTGGGGGGGGGAGAACCCAGCCCCCCCTTAAAAAGGCCCCCTCCCTTACCCCAAGCCTAATATATTAAACTTCATTATATATTCGTTTCTTAACAATTGACAATTTGTCCATTTTAACTTATTATTGATTGGTAATGTATTTAAAACTTTTTTTTATTAAAACTAGGTTCTAGGGGCCTAGACTAAACCTTCAATACGCCCCTCCGGCATGTAACATTTAATATTATTATATTGTGTGAGTATGTGTACCTGTCTAGGCCAAACTCCTGTAGAGATGAGAAGTATATCTCCGGTCTGGTTTCTAGAAAACCTAAGAGGAGAATACGCCCACAGATAGGATATATGGTCGGGAGTAGGAAGGTATGGATGGGGTTCACCGAATATTCTAGATAGTAATCTAGGTCTGTACACTAGCAGGGTAGATAAACTCATCACAGGGTCTACAGTTACAATCTAGATAGTAGATAAAGGGTTATTGTATTATAGGATACAACAGTCACAATCTAGGTAGTAGATAAAGGGTTATTGTATTACAGGATACAACAGTAACAATCTAGATAGTAGATAAAGGGTTATTGTATTGTATAGGATGCAACAGTTACAATCTAGATAGTAGATACAGGGTGATTGTATTATAAGATACAACAGTTACATTCTAGATAGTAGATAAAGGGTTATTGTATTACAGGATACAACAGTTACAATCTAGATAGTAGATACAGGGTTATTATATTGTATAGGACGCAACAGTTAATCTAGATAATAGATACAAGGTTTTTGTATTATAGGATATAACAGTTAAAATCTAGCTAGTATGTACAGGGTTATTGTATTCTAGGATACAACAGTTACAATCTAGATAGGAGATATAGGGTTATTGTATTATAGAGTACATCAGTTACAATCTAGCTAGTATATACAGGGTTATTGTATTATAGGATACAACAGTTAATCTAGATAGTAGATAAAGGGTTATTGTATTATAGAGTACATCAGTTACAATCTAGGCAGTATATACAGTATTATTGTATTAAAGGATACAACAGTTACAATCTAGATAGTAAATAAGGGTTATTATTTTATAGGATACAACGAATAAAATCTAGATAGTAGATACAGGGTTATTGTGTTAAAGGATTCAACAGTTACAATCTAGATAATGATACAGGGTTATTGTATTCTAGGATACAACAGTTAATCTAGATAGTATATACAGGGTTATTGTATTATAGGATACAGCAGTTACAATCTAGATAGTAGATACAGGGTGATTGTATTATAGGATACAACAGTTACAATCTAGATAGTAGATACAGGGTTATTGTATTGTAGTATACAACATTTACAATCTAGATAGTAAATACAGGGTTAATGTATTATAGGATACAACAGTTACAATCTAAATAATGATACAGGGTTATTGTATATTAGGATACAACAGTTAATATAGATAATAGAAACAGGGTTATTGTATTATAGGATACAACAGTTACAATCTAGATAGTAGATACAGGGTAATTGTATCATAGGATACAACAGTTTAAGTCTAAATAGTAGATACAGGGTTATTGTATTATAGGATACAACAGTTACAATCTAGATAGTAGATACAGGGTTATTGTATTATAGGATACAACAGTTACAATCTAGATAGTAGATACAGGGTTATTGTATTGTAGGATACAACAGTTTAAGTCTAAATAGTAGATACAGGGTTATTGTATTATAGGATACAACAGTTACAATCTAGATAGTAGATACAGGGTTATTGTATTATAGGATACAACAGTTACAATCTAGATAGTAGATACAGGGTAATTGTATCATAGGATACAACAGTTTCAGTCTAAATAGTAGATACAGGGTTATTGTATTATAGGATACAACAGTTACAATCTAGATAGTAGATACAGGGTTATTGTATTATAGGATACAATAGTTACAATCTAGATAGGAGATATAGGGTTATTGTATTGTATTGTAGGGTACAATAGTTACAATCTAGCCATGGATACAGAATCCTTCTTCAAACGTACTTGTATTTTATAATTTACTTGAAACTGTTTTTGTCCCATCATTGCTCGCAATGTAAATGCAAATTGCACAATTTCAAGACTTATGTTTACTTAAATCATTCTTCTATTCATTTACAAACCAATAAACATACAAAACTTAAAACTGTTTATATTAGCTTAGAATTCAAATTCTAAACTCAAGATGTGGACTTCACTTATCTTACCAAACCCTGATTTTTTTACAATACGAACTTAACAGCGAGTAACTCCCCTGAAGTACATTTCATTAGATCTCAATTATTAAATTTAAATGAAAGAACAAAAACTCAATTATTTTCTTGAACAATATAAGAATAATGCCTTTTAATATTGTATTATTATTTTGTATTTTTAAGTTGAGAGAAAAGTCTGTAGATAAAATATTAATATTTCTAGACAAATGTTTAATGTTGACAGGTAGATTGAATTTATAAAACCTATTTATTCTTCTTGTTTAGCTCTGCAGGAGGTTAAAGCTAAATATCGAGCTTTTCCACAGAGTGGGGTTTATTAAACCGGTTTATTAATGTATTTGGTGGATTTTCATGATTGGAATTCGCGGATTTCGGGATTTGATTTAAATAAGGCTCATATTTGAGACTAATTCTCCACTAAAACCATCGAAGGTCGGTTTTTTTTTCATCGAGCCTGACTCCTTAAGACGAGTTCAAGAGCTGGAAGCTATCGACTACGCATCATAAGTTAACCTTGCATTTATAATTTAACACTTAAATCTAAACTGACCTGGAAATTGTTTGGAAACATTTGTGAGTAAAGAATAGCCAGGGTTCCTCCTAGGTCCTCTCCAACTAACATTATCCTAAACAATATTCTGAAATGTATATTGCAATGATTTGTGTGATTTAAAGTCAAAACTTTATCTCCATTTTAAGGAGTGGTGATCATACATTGCAAGGAAAAATTGAATCGAAAGATCATGATTTTAGCCTTAAATCTAAAATTGTCCACATTGGATATCAATTAAGTAAATTTAACCAACCCACCTTAGAAACTAGATGTAAAAAAATAATGTACTTTTTTTCAAAATCATAAATGAAATAAAAAAATCATGGAATCATGTAATAAATCCAATTTCAGCCAATCAAAAAAAATATATTTCACAGGGATTTATACAATACATATTCTAATTTTCATTTTGGTACGTGCTAATCTCCAAAAAAAATCTAAAGACGATGCAAAAACTTTGCATTTGATAAATGAAAATTTTATTGCTTCTAGAACAGGTTTATTGCACAAGGAAAAATTCAGGAAGTCTTAACAGGACCCAATATTCAACCGTTAAATTTTGCTTCTTCGCATTGTCTATTTTGCTATTGTTTGAATATTTATTTTGAATATTATATCCCCATAGATTCAGCCTGCTTATAAAAATTCTCATAAATTTTAAAGACAGGGTCGACTTTGAAGTGTTGCAACGCCTTGTGCTTCGATTTTAAACTCACTTGTCATTTGCTGTACATTTTAGTACTATAAAGCACCTGTTGATAGCTTTAGTTTCTAAGAAGTAATTGGCAAAATTTTCATCGATTTTTGCTTGAGAGCTTGAGACCTTTGAATCACAGTATATCAAAGTCCATAATTTTGAATTATAGATCAAAATATGACTGATATTTTGTCGATAGTGACAGGATGTAATTTGTTTTTATTTGTAGGCACAATTCAAACTAGACAAAAGGAGAAAGTTGAATTTATGAAACATTACTAGTAAAGCTTTTGACCTCGTAGCTCCTTTCGTTTTGATTTTATTTTTAAAAGATTAAAATCTTACACGCTACACTAAACTAAGTTATTTGGGGTAGATTAAATAGACTAATGATAGGCTCGTTACTGTTAAAAGTCTGGCCGCGCCATCAAAGTTGAAACCAAGCCGGCATAGGATTAGGTCACGGGTCGGTACTTGCTGCGCGTCAATGAGGCCGGTACTAGGGGTCGGTCCAGTACTAGGGGTCGGTCCGGTACTAGGGGTCGGGCCAGTACTAGGGGTCGGTCCGGTTTGAATTCAAATGGACCCTAGTCCAACGTGGCACAATTTACTTTATTTAAAGCTAATTTATTCTTTAAAGCTTACCTTTCATACTGAGATGAGAGATTTGTGAGAATAAATTGAGTTCTGTTCAGCACATCACCCATGGAGTTTGAACCATCAAGTTGATAGCCTGGATTTAAAATAAACATTGAAAGAATTGTTCACCGTTTAAAAAATGAGAAACCAATTCTGGAATAGGGAACACAATGAAGATATCCCTCATCCAAAGATTGTACAGTCCCTTGTATCTTTTCAAAAAGATTAACAATCCCATCGATCACATTACATTAAAACGTTAACATTATACGAAACAAGTGATTTTGAGCTCCTTTAAAGTGTCTTTATTTTTTCTGCTTTGTAGTGGTTCTCATTTATAGACAATTTTTTTCTTTTAAACATTTTTTTCAGTAAAAATAACGAAAATATCACATTCTAAAAAACGTAAATTATAAAATCACAGATATGTTTTCTAAATAAATAAAAATGTCAAACCTATATAAATTGAATCGTATCCAATGCTGCTCCAGAATTTATGAAGTTTGATCTTAATTTTGATAAATTATACGTGGAGCTTTGATTTGCATCTAATATAAGAGAATATGTTTATCTGATATATAATATCCAATTTAAACAAATATATTTAGAATCAGAATAGTATCATACACGGGCATAGTACATTTGAATTTCCGAGTCGGGTCAACCAGGCTTGTCCCAGTTTGTACTGTATCGCCCGTACATTGGGTAAATAAAGCAGACACTCAATAGGACTAGCCGGTGCAACAAGGTTGACGCGGTCAGACATTAGGTTGAATTTACTTTTACTAAAGGGTCAAAGGTGCGTGCATAAAGCTCTTATTTATTAAAAAGAATTTGAATTGTTTCAACGGTGTTTCAAAATTTAAATCCTATGTTTAAAAATTTTAATTTATCAAAAAAAAATGTTAAAACAATTTTTCTGTGTTTTTTATCAAATTTTCCTGAATGGTTTGTATAGCCTCTTGTGGGAAGTACACAATAAGCTGTTTACTGCGGGGCCTATAATAGTGTTTTTCTTAAAAAAAAAAACATCTTTAAGTATTCTTCATCTTGAAAAATAACCACTTTATGTAGTATTTCTCATGTAAAATCACATCTTTAAATATCGTTTGTCTTGTAAAATAACATGTTCAAATATTATTTATCATGTAAAATAACGTTTTTAAATATTATTTGTATTAAAAATAAACCTATATCTAGTTGTAGAATAATTAGATTGGATGTTTAGTTGAGCAAAATAATTTATTATTTAGAGAAACAATATGATGAAGGATGAAGGATGAAGGATGAAGGATGAAGGATGAAGGATGAAGGATGAAGGATGAAGGATGAAGGATGAAGGATGAAGGATAAAGGATGAAGGATAAAAGATGAAGGATGAAGGATGAAGGATGAAGACCCCAAAATAAAAATAAATGTTCTAAGATCAGGGAATAGGCAATATTTGAAACAAAAACGTTGTGCAGCTAAATTTGAATGAGCCTGAGCAGTAAAAAAAGCATTTCTTCCTGCAGCAACTATTTTTGTTAAATAAATGGAGTGTTCACAAATGTATGCCTCTTTATGTAATTTCAAGAGGAATTAGTTGTGTACTGCAGACATAGGGGGTAGAAATAAAAAAATTACTGATTCAATTCTAATTTAATTTTGTCAAAATGGCATGTTCTCTAGAATTACTATTATTATTATTATTTTAACTAATTTTATTGCTTTTTGTAATACTGATTATTTTTATTTATCTCGAACTATTACCATTATTATTATTGCTATTTTTATAACTATTAGTATTTGTTTTTATTGAATAAAACTATTCGACTAGTTGGTATATACCTATTAGCAATATAAAGAGAATGTGATTTCACTGAATAATCAACATATAATTCTTCTGTTGATATTACTGCAAATTCAAATCCCTGCCTTGCAACAGGAATACTGAAATAAAAAATATATTCTAAAAATGTTTCTGTACTCAGAGGCCGAATTTAAAGAATTTTAGCCTCGGCTCAAATATGGTTGGTTCCACTTAAAATTGTATACAATGTTTCAAGATTTAAGCCGGCGCTCAATTGAAACCGGTATTTGGCGGATTTTAGACGCGGCTCAAATTCATTAAATTTGAACACAGATGACATAAAGAATACGAAAATAGTAAAACTATTTGTTTTTAAGCTATGTAATGTCGCTTTGGATTTGATGATTGGAAACTAAAAAATAACTGTCAACTTTTTAGAATAAATCAGTTTAACAATTGAAATTTACAAAACTCTTAGTAAAATTTTTGTACAAAACCTGTTACTTCTGCTTCATTTTTTCAAAACATTCAAAAAAAGATATTAAATGAGGAACTGTTTGAAAAAAATGTACAGCCTCAGACTAACAATTTCATGATTCTGTCCAAAGAAAACACTTGGGGAGCCAAGAGGGTCATGTGACCCCCCCTCCCCCTCCGAAGGAATAGGGTTTACATGGTATTTTGCAGAGACAATTGCAGCCTTTCTTTATTTCTCAGTTTATCAATTATTATAATTCTGAGCTTTAAAGATCACTTCGATCCTTTTTTGCATAAACAAATGTAAAAACAGATCAATTGAAATTACAAGTTTGTAATTTTAAAAAGTTCAATTGAGTTGTTGCCCCAATCTCCAAATGTTCAGTCTAGAATATCTTTACAACCTGATGGTGTAAACCTTGCATATTTCAAACTTAGTATTTTGGGTAAAACAGAGATCATAGATTGAAATATTTAAGGTCTACGACATTGGGTTGCAAAGAAAAAGGGAATCAAAATTTGATTTTGTGGCAAAGACTCCATTCCTTTATAATTTAATCCAATTAAAATATGTTTTTATATTATCTAAAGAGATATCAAACAACTACTGTCTTGAAAATAAAAAAAAATTGTAAAAATAAAAAATCTGCTTTCTGTAATCTTACCATATTGATCAAGATATTAATATTAATTTCGCAAAAAAAATTTTATTTAGCACATTCCACAAAAAGATTGTTATTAAATTGTTATTATTATTATATTCGTAACTCTGAAAGTAAAATATTATTAAAGTTTACCGATTGATATATTGTGTAGTGGTTTCCTCTGCTGGTATTTCTGTAGTTACATCACTAGCATTGGTAGAAGGGTTTTTACCAGTAGAACCTGTCATGGGATCCTCAGTCATATCTAATTATTAAAATTACATTAATAATAAATGTTAAGGGTTTTGATTTCTTTTCTCAGGTTTTCAAACATTTTTAAAAAAAATCCCTTACATTTCAATTTTTAGACTAAGAAGTGTCAAATTGAAAGCACTGGAATAGGGATTCCCCCCCCCCCCCCTCCGCCTGCCGATTTTTTTTATGGTTAAAAAGATTATTTTCTTTTCTCATTGTACCTTCATGCTCGTCGTCATTCAATAGGGAATCAAGTAGAGCCTAGCAACAACACCCACCATTACATATATATATTGTCCATAATATACATATATTATCCATATTATATATATATCATCCATATTATATATATATCATCCATATTATATATATATATAGATTCAGTGTTTAAAAGGACTGTCCATGTAATTTCAACGAGCAATGAATCTAAAAATGTCCTATTTACAACTGTATAACCTTGTTTGAAAAATCCTTGTTTTATCTGCCAAATTCATAGTTTTCCATTTTTAGTAATAGTAGCTATCGAATTTATGCAGCAGAGGAGATGAAGGTAATTTAGAAAATTTATATCTGTTTAAAAATTAAAACGACAATATCTTTCTTTTTGTTAATCCGTTTTGGGGGGACAGGGTACCGTTTTAAATCAGACACGGAAAGCGCGCTTTAAATGGAGGGCCTCTTAAAATTAAGTGAACAGTCCCTTTAAATTATTCCAGAATATTTTCACTTTTCACAAATATGACAAAACTTCCTTGAGCTACAAATATTCTAATATCATTCAGAAATGAAAACTGTCACTTCGTATATTTTAACTAAGATAACAAATATGGCAGCAAGAGGGATATCGAGATTTTGTCAATTTTGAGAGAAGATACACATATCGCATTGCAATACAGTGCAAATAAAGATTATCAAGAAAAATAAGTGGCAACAGAGAGATAGACCAATTATACATGTTGTCAAAAGTGTCAAATATAACAAGAAAGACAACATTTTCTCCCATTAGTTTACATGTTTGCCAAGATTAAATAAAAAAGTGTACCAACAGATAATAAAGAACACAAAATTGCACTTATTTCACTGCAAAAAAAAACACTTTATTATCACTATCATTTATAACTTTCTTGAACACACAGACTGAGTTAACACTTGTGACGTAAGATTACAGCATTACTATGAGCAATGCTACGTTGCCATCTATTGTACTTGATAATCTATGTAATGCAGTGTATATTTATTTTGTTCTGTATAGAGTTGTAGAAATACACTTTTAGAAAAAAAAACTTTCGAATTACCGTTAGTATTTTAAAATTACAAACGTTTTCTAAACCATACATCTGTGCAACCTAATGTCGTGGTCATTTTATATTTCAAACTTGAATTTTGTTAGAACAAAAGTTAAAAATATCAAAGGTTGCAAATATATAGGGATTGCAAAACTCATTTTTTTGTATTCCCAGACACTCTGTTCGCAGTTTTGAACAAAATGTTTGTAATTTCTAAATCCTTTCAGTCAGTTGGATATTACTAACATAATATTAGAGTTGCTTCTGACAACCCTCGTATTATTGAGACAAATACGTATAATACGTATAATACGTATAATACGTATAACTTTCAGCAATTTTTTCTTTATGAGTTAGTTACGGAACGTTGTTTTGCATAACAAGTAAGCAATTATTAGGTTAAATGAATTTCATGTCAATTTTCTTAAACTTTTAATTTTTCCTCAAATTATTTTTTTGTGACTGAATTCGTTTCATTATCTTTTCAATAACCTCAAGTCGGTTAAAGTTTTTTTAATATAAAATTATGGTGGGTTGACTGTTCCTGACAGGGATCACGAGGATGCGTTTTGTTCCAAGCTTTAGTTGTTCCCATTCCTCCAGAGCCACCCGAGCCACCCGAGCCGCCTGAACCACCTGAGCCACCTGAACCTCCGGATCCTCCACCGGGATACCAACCTCCTTTTAACAATATAACTTTATTATCTTTAAATTTTTATAATTTGAATATATAATTTTTCTTGGTTGAAAAATGTTTCTTTAACGATTATAAGTTTTGCTAAAAAACAAATTGATATTATTTTTCTTTCCTATTTAAATGCTTCTTATCAAATTTTTTATACTACGATCATTTTATCAGGTAGTTTTTGCTTGTTGGGAGTAATGTAATCTAATATAATTTTAAGTCCGCGGGAGTGAAGTCTTTCCATAATCAATGAAATTTTAATTATATATTTCATTTTTCCTTTTTCAAAATTTCCCCTTTCGGGTATTTTATTCATAATTTTATATTTCGTTTATAAATATTGAAAAACAATTTGCATTTTGCAGCCCACGCCTTCTTTTGAAGATCCATTTTCAAGGTTCAATATTATCCGTACAAAGAAATATAATTAAATGGTGTTAACAATAATTAAAATTGGAAAACCACAAAAGAGTTTTTGGTTCTTTAAAAAGGTAAAATTAAAAATTCTTGATAATTTGCATTCTGTCCTTAACAGATGCATTTAATTGGAAGTTGAAAAAACTTCCAATTCGAGAAAATTAATTTAGTTGAGAGAACTTTACTAATTAACATATTAAGTTGAATCCGAGATAGATAACAAAATATTCAGTAAATTTTTCTGTGAAAAATGTTCAGTCAAAATTTTGTGTTTTTTTGTAGAATTTTGTAAACTTTGATACGGTAAACGTTATTTAATAATTAACATGTCCAATCCACAGCGATACCCTGTAACTTTTTTTGAGTAACAATAAGTCTCTTTTATAAAGGTACAACAATAGAAATTATTTTCAGCCAAAAATATTTTATAAAATCTCGTCCATCCTTAACCAGATAGTGGTTTTTAAAGGGTATCGTTGTTAATTGTACATGCTATTTTTTTAATGGAGGGAACATGAAGTAATCTATCTACTCCTTCGTTCCTAAAGGTCAATAAAAAAATCCCCTTAGAAAAAGTATCAATAAAAAGTTGTTTTGTTTCCTGTAGACTGTGCTGGCAGCATAGTTGTTGTCTCTATCTCTTTCATTAACTTTCCTGTTATTCATCTCATTAAACTTTCAATTTGATAATTAAAAGAATTAAAAAAACATTATATGCCTGTTCTGTAAAAACACAAACAGAAAAGTCTATTTCTAGAAAAGTTATTATTGCAAATAGTATAAAATAGAAATGAAAGATTTAAAAATGTTATTAAAAATTCTTCTTAAATCAGATAATTAAAAAACTGTTTAGAAATATATTTTCTTTCTGAGTAAAATGTGTTGAATGAGGTTCCTAGAAGTAGAGAAGATGAGTTTATATTGTTTGATACTGCTAGAATAGAATCCTCTTCAACATCTAGGATCCTCAAGGACCTAGAAGTAAAGGTAGGATGTATTAAAGGATCCTCAAGGACCTAGAAGTAAAGGTAGGATGTATTAAAGGATCCTCAAGGACCTAGAAGTAAAGGTAGGATGAATTAAATGATCCTCAAGGACCTAGAAGTAAAGGTAGAATGAATTAAAAGATTCTATAGGATCTAAGAAGTAAAGGAAGGAGGAATGAATGAATCCTGAAGGATCTAGAAATATAGGCACGAGGAATTAAAGGATCTTATAGGATCTAGAGTATAGGAAGGAGGAATTAAAGGATCCTATAGGATCTAAAAGTATAGGAAGGAGGAATTAAAGGATCCTATAGGATCTAGAAGTATAGGAAGGAGAAATTAAAGAATCCTAAAGGATCTAGAAATACAGTAAAGAGGAATTAAATGATTCTATAGGATCTAGACGCATAGAAAGGAGAAATTAAAGAATCCTAAAGGATCTAGAACTACAGTAAAGTGGAATTAAATGATTCTATAGGATCTAGACGTATAGGAAGGAGGAATTAAAGGATCCTATAGGATCTAGAAGTATTGAAAAGAGGAATTAAAAGATCATTGAGGATCTGCATGTATAGAATGGAGGACTGTTCTAAATGCACAAACAGTAACATATCCATGGTTAAAAGGGAGCAATAAAGAAATATAGAAAATTAACCTAAAAGTTTAAGGCTCCAAGGCATACAGAAAAAGATAATTTATTTTTCAATAAAAAATATTAAAAATTAAAATATTGCAACTAAATATAATTTTTTGAAATTGAGGTTCTTGCTGTTTATAAATATACAAAAGTTATAATTTACTTGTGTAAAATTATTAAAAAAATTATTTTAATGTTTGGAAATTTTTTTGTCGTTTGTTACTTTTATTCTTATTTATTCTTATTCTTTGCCTGAAGTTTATCTACAGAGATATTAATACTGTTCCTACAGGGTGTCCCACGAAAAATGTCAGTAATGTTTTCTTCCATATACTTTATTAGATATTAAAGACTGTTTGCAGTTTATTTCGTTTAAAAAAACTTTACTCAAATATATTTTACTTAGAAATCAATTTTACTATAATACGGATGCCATAAATTATTTATTATTATTTTCTTTGGAAACAAACAACTTGACATATTATGGAAGAAGACATTTTAAAATATTCACCACTGTCATGTTTCGTGGGACACCCTGTATATCCCAATATTGGGAGAGTATCAGAGATTATGGCTTATCGTATAGACCAGGATAGTCTTTAGTTTCTTATTTTGCCAACAATACATATAAATACCTTTTCAACAATACATATAAATACCTTTTCAACAACACATTGAAATACCTTTTCCAACAACACAAAGAAATACCTTTTCCAACAATACATAGAAATACCTTTTTCAACAACACATAGAAATATCTTTTCCAACAGAAATACCTATTCCAGCAATACATAGAAATACATTTTCAAACAACGCATAGAAATACCTTTGCTTAACAATCTTTGCATCTAATTACCAATAATGCATGTTTAAAAAAAAGGTGGTCAGAAAAGTTCCTTCAAACTAAAAAAAAAAGTGGTCAGAAAAGTACTAGAAACTTAAAAAGGTGGTCAGAAAAGTACATACTAACTAAAAAAGGTGGTCATAAAAGTACATACTAACTAAAAAAGGTGGTCAGAAAAGTATCTACAAACTAAAAAAGGTGGTCAGAAAAGTACCTACAAACTAATAAAGGTGGTCAGAAAAGTACTTAAAAGTAAAAAAGTGGTCAGAAAAGTACCTACAGACTAAAAAAGGTGGTCAGAAAAGTACTTAAAAGTAAAAAAGGTGGTCAGAAAAGTACTAGACAGTAAAAAAGGTGGTCAGAAAAGCACTAGAAACTAAAAAAGGTGATCAGAGAAGTGCTAGAAACTAGAAAAGGTGGTCAGAAAAGTAATAGGAACCAAAAAAGGTGATCAGAAAAGTACTATAAACAAAAAAGGTGGTCAGAAAAGTACTACAAACTAAAAAAGGTAGTCAGAAAAGTACTAGAAACTAAAAAAGGTGGCCAGAAAAGTACTAGAAACTAGAAAAGGTGGTCAGAAAAGTACTAGGAACCAAAAAAGGTGGTCGGTAAAATACTATAAACTAAAAAGGTTTTAGAAAGACTGAAATATTGCATTAAAAGATTAATTATCTGCATGAATATATGTATCAATTACTTACTGTAACCATCGTAATTTTTTTAACATGAAAAAAAAATTTCCCATTTCTGAAAATTTGTTTAGAGTTGCAAAGGGCTCTATCAATAAAACATGCATATAGAATTACGATGACAGTTCCTGAAAGATACTTTTATTCACTTAGAATCCTAAATTTTGGATGCATTATTCTTGAAATGTCTACCGAAATTTAAGTAGAAACCCCTGTTGCTTTCAATAAATGATAGTTCTCTTGTATAGATCATTGTACCTTTCAATCAATGATAGTTCTCTTGTCTCCAGGTCCACCGCTACAACTCTATCTTGAGCGAAGTGTTCACTGTTTACTAGAACCTTATCAGTTTCACCCTAAACCATAATATTAATAAGATAAATAATAATAATAATAGATAACAGACTGTACGCGAAATTTAAAGTGACTCTCCATGCAGACCGATTTACAAAGCTTTGTCTGATCAAGTATGTCGAGTTAGATATCCATGATTTTTTATTTTTTAATTGTTTATTTCTATTTGCCGGTTTTCTGCGAAAGTAACTTGCATTTCTTGCTTATAAAAAGTAATGGAAAAATTATCAAAATTAAACACTTTTCGAGTCAGAAAAAGGACGGTATTTTCCAAATAACAAGATTAAGGTTTCAAGGGCACCGTTGTAAATTGAGCATTATTTTTTATATTAGCTGATCACTTAAAACACAGTTCCTTTAAACCACACAGTCCCTTTAAACCACACAGTCCCTTTAAACCACACAGTCCCTTTAAACCACACAGTTACAGAGCATGGTGTGACAATGCTGGAGAATACTTTATCATCATTTCAACAATATCTAGTATCTGATTGCTGTCATTTATTCTTGAGTGGTCTCCAATTTACAGGAAAATTGCCATCATTATCACAAATATAAAATTCTACCTGAAAACACTTTTTATGTGAATATTTCGACTTTAAAAGATATATTTTTTTCTATAAAACATTAATTTTCAAAATTAATCAAAATGATGGCTTAGTTTTGCGAAAATATTGCAAAATTGCTATTTTGTGGAAACCACTAATTGATCTGTAAAATTTGTTTTTAAAGTCTGAATCTAAAAATGGATGAAAAGCTGTATTTCAATATTGCTGTGTAGTGTGTAGAGTGTGGAGTGTAAAAAGAAAATGGATAGTAAAATGAGGATAAATGTTTTATTTACATTTTACACTCTTACTTCTTTTAATAGTTATAAATTCGTGAAATAGATACATAACAAGAAATTCATTTCCCTTGCCATCCCTTAGTCTACTAGGTTTGGTTCATGCCATGTACAATTTTTTGTTTCATTTATTTGCAGATTCGGCTTGAAGGGACTGTAAAGGAAAAATGAAAGGGGGTATAGGCTGAAAGGTAATCACTTTAGCTCTTGATCGCGACCCATGAAGGTTTTATCTGATATTCCTGTCACGAGAAATTAATATGAAACTGTGTTAAAATTATACGAAAGTTCATATATGTAAAATTTTGAATATCTTAAACTTAAATCACGTGACCAGAACTATCACCAATGGCAGAGCAGTATTCTGGTCACGTGTCTCCGCCTGTATCACGTGACCACTTTACTGCACTGCCATTGGTGGAATTTCTGGTCAAGCAATACGGACGTTTAAATAATATTATGAATTAAATCTATAAAATATAGAAATAACAAAATTAGAATTGGAGTAAACCTAAGTCACAATTAGCTTTCTCTGGGATATTATCGTTTTCAGATTGGTTGCTTATTTGCTGAATTTGATCTATTTAAACCCACTACTTTCATACAAAATTTAATATATATATATATATATATTAATTTTCGTATAAATTTGACAAAGTTGTAAATAAGTTTCTCGAGATAGGAACATCAGATATAACTTTCATGGGTCGCGATCAAGAGCTAAAGTGATTAGCTTTCAGCATATACCCTCTTTCATTTTTCCTATACAGTCCCTTTAAAACATTTTATTTAGAAATGAACGGAAATGTTTTGATTATCCTTCTTTATTCTTGAAATAGAATAAATAAAATGTTAGCGACAAATAATACAAAAATTGTATTGGTACTTTGACTAAAATTAGACAACTTTTGAAACTATTATCTCTCTACATAAATTACAATGTTTATCATTTCTAAGTATTAATCAAAGTAAAATATTGCATGTCTTAACAAGTATTGCATGAATGTAAAATGAAAAAAAAATGCATTTTAATGATAAAAACAACTTGCAGTTTATTTTCTTTGATGACTTTAACAAGAAATTTGAATCCTGAGGCCGAGTTTAAAGAATTTGAGCCGCGGCTCAAATATGGTTGGTTGGTATTCATTGTTACAAGATTTAAGCCGGCGCTTAATTAAAGCCGGTTTTTGGCGGATTTGGACACTGGAAGCATACTTTTCCTTAAACGAACCAAGAAATTTGTCTTTCTCTTTGGGCTGTTTTCCATTTCTAAGTAAATCAATAAACTAAACAATCTGGAATTTTCAGATTTTCTGGCTTTCAGTTGTGAACTTTCAACCGGCTCAATTTGAATTTGAATCACTGATTTAAATCCTTTCTGACTCTTTAATTTTGAATCAGTTATTCAAATTTGAACCGGCAGTATAGATAGTTCAGTGACGTGGCTTAAATTAATTAAATTCACCTTGACGTAGAAAATCGACTGTCTGTTTTCTTGAATCAGCTGGATCCCCATAAAGTCCTCGAACTCGGTCTCAGCATCAATTAGAATTTGATATTCAGGGGTTCCCATAATTGGCCAGTTGTATACTCGCAGCTCTCTTCTTACATTCGGAGATACTGGGACACCCTGTATAGTGTATAGTGAATCTTGGGACACCTTGCATAGTGTATAGTGTAGTATGGGAAACCCTGTATAATGTAGTGTATACTGGGACACCCTGAATAGTGTATAGTCAATCATATGACACCTTGTATAGTGCATAGTATATACTGGGACACCCTGTATAACGTAAAGTGTAAAGTGGGACACCCTGTATAGTGTTTCATGGGACACCCTGTATATATAGTGCATAATGTATATAATGTATTCTGGGACACCCTGTAAAGTATATAATGTATACTGGGACACCCTGTATAGTGCATAGTGTATACTGGGGCACTGTACAGTGTATAGTTTATACTGTGACATCCTGTTTAGTGTATAGTGTATACTGGTACACTCTGATTAGTGTATAGTGTTTCCAGGTACACCCTGTATTGTGTATAGTGTATACTGGGACACCCTGTATAGTGTATAATGAATATTGGGACACCCTGTAAAGTGTATAGTGAATACTGGGACACCCTGTTTAGTGTATAGTGTATCCTGGGACACACTGTATAAAGTATAGAGTATACTGGGACACTTTATATAGTGTATAGTGTATAGTGTATTATGTATACTGGGACACCCTGTATAGTGTATGGTGTATGGTGTATACTGTACAGTGTATACTGTATACTGTGACACCCTGTATAGTGTATAGTGTATGGTGTACACTGTGACACCCTGTACAGTGTATAGTGTATACTATATACTGTGACACTCTGTAGAGTGTATAGTGTATACTGTATACTGTGACACCCTGTACAGTGTATAGTGTAATATGTATACCGGGACATCATGTTTGGTGTATACTGTGACACCCTGTATAGTGTGAGTAAGATATTTATTTATTTCTGAAGAAACATAAAAAATTACAAAACAAGTGTTTAGAGAGCATTTTCCTCTTTCTCACCATATCAAATATTCATTTTCTACTTGAAGAAGAGAACAAAAAACCAATTTCAAACTTAGAATAAAAAGATTGTATTTCTTCTCGACAATGAGCTCACTAATCATACAGATAAGAAGTGTAGGATATAAATATTAGGATTGATAGAAATCATTGATTTTAAAAGAATGTAAAGAGGTATTTTTAAACACTTTATCTTAATTCTTGTTAGTTTTATGTTTGATAGTTTGCTTTGCTTTCCAAATCCTGCCAGTAGTCAAGAACCTCTTCAATGTAAATATACTCTAATCATCTTCCAGTAGTCAAGAACCTCTTCAATATAAATAAACTCTAATTATCTTCCAGTAGTCAAGAACCTCTTCAATATAAATATACTCTAATTATCTTCCAGTAGTCAAGAACCTCTTCAATGTAAATATACTCTAATTATCTTCCAGTAGTCAAGAACCTCTTCAATATAAATATACTCTAATTATCTTCCAGTAGTCAAGAACCTCTTCAATATAAATATACTCTAATTATCTTCCAGTAGTCAAGAACCTCTTCAATGTAAATATACTCTAATTATCTTCCAGTAGTCAAGAACCTCTTCAATGTAAATATACTCTAATTATCTTCCAGTAGTCAAGAACCTCTTCAATGTAAATATACTCTAATTATTAAATTAGTGGAATCGGATTTCAATCACCACGACTTTAATTCTAAAAGTTTCATTTTTAAAACATCTTGTTTCCATTCTTCTATTTTTGTTCTATTTTTGATTAAACTATATTCTTCTTGATTTAGTACTCAGCTTTGCCTGGAAACTGAGGATTCTCTTTAAAAGTCAACCTTGCTAAACTTTTAAATAAAGTTAAGAAGATTCCCGTGGTTCCCAAATGAGAATTCGTGGCAAATCGGTCAAAGGGTTTCTGGATTATGATCTCGGACACACAAACAGACAGACAGACAGAAAATAGAGATGACTACTTTATGTATAAATACCTTTTCATTAACTACTGGGTTAGAGAGGAGCATCAGCTTAGTACCATCAGGAGAGAATACAGGAGAGGAGATATGATATCCTGGAATATATTAAATTTATCTAAAAAGGACTATAGAAAGTAATTTCAAGAGAAAGGAACTGAGTTTTTGCCACAAAATCTAATTTTCCAAACCCTATATCTCCATAACTCGATGATGGGAAACCTGTGATATGTCAAACTTGAATTATTTGATCTTAAAGAATTCCTAGTTGGAAATATCTGAGGTCTACAACATCTGGCTGAAAAGATATAGGGAATAAAAAATCTTAGTTTGTGTTAAAGACTTAATTCTTTTACTATGGTTCCCTGTAAACTTTTCTCTATTCAAGGATTAATAAAATATCCTTATTTTGCTTACTCATATAGATCTTTTCAATTTTATAGTCTTAGTAAATATGATCCATTGGGACTTCAACATGATCAATCTAAATAAATATAATCCATTGGGACTTTAACATGATCAATATAGACAAATATGATCCATTGGGACTTTGTCATGATCAATCTAAATAAATATGATCCATTGGGACTTTTACATTATCAATCTAGACAAATATGATCCATTGGATCTCCAACATGATCAATCTAGACAAATATGATTCATTGAGACTTTAACACGATCAATCTAGACAAATATGATCCATTGAGACTTTAACACGATCAATCTAGACAAATATGATCCATTGGAACTTCAACATGATCAATCTAGACAAATATGATCCATTGGAACTTTTATATGATCAATATAAACAAATATGATCCATTGGAACTTCAACATGATCAATCTAAACAAATATGATCCATTGGGACTTCAACATGATCAATAATTGTGTATTTTGTACCTGTTGGTTATTAAGATTAATCACAAATATTTTAGGATTTCCAGCCCTATCCACCTCCCCTTCATACTTAGTCCAAACAGAGGATTCATTCTTAATACCCTCACCAGCCACCAGCAACCTGTTTATGTATAAATTATGTTATGTTCTATGTGTAGTACAGTGTATCCATCCCTACTAGCGACCTATATATGGTTAATGTTATGTTTTATATAAGTAAAATGTGTCGTAGACCATAGTAAACATAATATTTTCAATTTCATGCATATATACGTTCCGATAAATTAAAAGATAATCAGAAAATTTGTTTTTTAACTTGTATTTTCCAGTTTTATTTGATTTTAATATTTACTCGCCTATCCTTTGCTGGGCCTAAAGAGAAGGTTGCAAAAATATCATCTTGAAGAACTTCTATTAAAACAGATATTTAAAATGTGAATACACTTTTGATGCATTTTTTCAAAAATATTTTCTAGGATTTATATAATTAAGTTGTACACAGCAACTATGTGTTTTGCTCTTTTCAAAGAAACTTGTGCAAAAAAATGTTATTTTTGTTTGAATTCTAGAGAGCAAAGGGCACCAGAGCGTGTCGACTGGAGTCTGTAATTTGTTTAACAACAATTGGGTTATACTCTAAGACAAGCAACACACAGTTTTGACAAGTTTTTATCCAATATTTAAAATATTTTGTTCCTGTAAAATGTGAACTTGTATTAACGATGTAGGAACAGTTTACAGTTGAGTTGTAAAGATATATCACCAGCTCCCCTTCCTTCTCCTGCAAATATATGTAAAATATATAAATGTCACATATTTATACATTTTCATTTATGTATTAGGTGTACATTGTACAGATAACGAGTACATGTATTGTGCATTAGTCGTTCAGTGTACACTGTTAGGCTACAAACTAACATTAGATATATACAGGGTTACCCACTAAGGATGAGACTGTAAAGACGACCTGAAACTGAAAGAAACCAGTTTACAGTTACTGAAAAATCTCAACATAAGGTATATACAGTAAATATTTTGTAAGATCGCCTCTGAAGTCTTTTTCTTTATGGGTCACCCTGTATATATAACTGTTGTTTCAAATTTTGTTCCTTTTGTATATATATATATATAATGAGTTTTGCAAAATTTAGCAAACGAGGATAATTTCGATCAAAATAATGTTGCAAGTAAAAAGCAATGTCATGGCGCTGCGCACATTCCGAGCAAGAATCCTGTTAGTGAGGCCCTTTTTCTAAATAATCGAAAAATAATCGATGACTATTGTTTGTAATATCCGAATGATTTGTTTGGAATCAAATTGATTATTTCACGATCCGAGTTGAATGTTGCAACTTTCTGAATTTATTTGGACGCTACGTTCTTCAGCTTGAGGCGTTTTTAACAAGTTTCACCTTATAGACGCAACAGATTGAAGTATGATTAGAAGCGATCAAACGCGCCTATTTTTCGCCTGAAACCTATACCCTCTTTCACTTTTCGCGAACACGCTCTTTAAGATTATGTTGCTGTTGTAAAATTAGCATTATAAAAAATAGAATGAAATACAGACTATTATCCTGCACCTGCACGAATACCCCATCCTCTCTGATTTCTGTGAAATAATAAAGATATAATTTGGTAATTTGAGTAAAATTTTTAAAAAAAATATATATTTTCATTTTACTAAAATGGATTGTAAGCATAATTTTCCTTAAAAGAGGGACATTCCTGATTTACAAGAGTTCAACGCGGTTTTAAAAATAAAGATAGAAAGTGTTCAATAACTACAACCAGTACATACATTATAAAAAAGTATGTCATTCTTGATCAGTGAAAGGTTTAAACTGTAAAATCTGAGGTTCTCTTTTAATGGAAGGTCAATTGAAATTACGCTTTCAATCCCTTTGACGAATATCTCTATTTGTGCAAGGGATAATATAAATATTTAGTTTCAATATTTCTTCTATTGTTGTTTTTGCAAAGAACAATCTTGAATTTTATCCGAATAAAAAACAAGAAAAAGTAAAAGTCATACAATAACGAAATTCTGGCCCAAAAGATAACCCGGGGTGGTTGGATATATTCAAGAAAAAAGCCGAAATATTGTTAAACAACTTTTAAACTTTTTGAATTTTCAAATCATATATTTTTTCATGAGGATAAATTTTCGTTATCTTATTTAAAGTTGTGCGGGAAATATTTACTAAAAAAGGATAAAATGTTACAACTTTGTCTTAAAAGAAATGAGAAACTATTTATCTTGCCTTCCAGGGATCATGAAATTGCAAATAAGAAAATGTGGGAAAACAATTTTTAAGAATTTAACAATCATATATTTTTTGTAACAAATTGAATAATATTTGCTACGCTAGAACCCTGTTTCCATAAAGAAGATTTGTTCTAACAAAATAAAATCTTGGAATTTTTAATCAGTATAAATCCTGGCGACGAAAGAAAGGAGAATTCCCAAGGGACATGGTTAGATAGGGGAAATTATTAGAAAAATATCGAACTATAAAAAACATCTAAACTTTCTTTTAGCCTCCGGTTGGTTTAAAATTTTACCGTTACATACTTCCAAAAAAGACATGGCCGTGCTTTAAGTGACAGATAAAATTGTACCGTACAGCATTTTAACTTTACCACCGTTGCACAAAATAATCATTGCTCTATATTTAAACATGGGCGCGTTTGGCTTTTTTCATTTCGTTCGTTCATTGTTGGTGAACTGCTCATCTTTGTGCACAAAAAATCGTTTTTTTTTTCGAAAAAGAACGATATTTTTCTGAAAAATTCATGGATGACATAATTTATTTAGTTTTCTAAATAAATCAACAACTTGGAAAAAATATTTTCGTATTAATAAAAAATGTGCAAAGTTCAATATTCAAGAATTGGTTGTAACTTGTAAATGTAGGGAAAGATGAATGGGAAGAAAAATAATTCCAATCTAAATATTTTATTTCTTTCTTTCCTTTCGGAGAATACTGTTCAATCTGGACTTCCACTGGTTTACTTTTCTCTAGAAAAAAGTTATTTTGAAAAATAACTTAAATAATGATTTTCTTTCATTTACCTAGTTTGTAGATTTTCTGTGTCTCATGGTTCCCGTTACTCCAGACAGTTCTAAAAGAAAGATTTTAAAAAGTTCAATTTCAGAAATAGGTTTTAGCAAATTCCGTCAAAATTCGGTTCAAATCCTCTTCCCTATATCTTTGCACTCTGTTGGTGTAAATCCTTTGATATATCAAACTTAGCTTATTTGATCAGAGCAGAATTCATAGTTTAAAATATCTCTCCCACATTGAATTGGAAAGATGGAGGTAATCAGAGGTTGTGTCATAGACTCAAATTCTTTATTGGTCGCTTATCTTTTGAAATCTTTTCGTTTAGTGCTAAACACTTTTTTCATCCGTGCATAACGATTTATAGTTAAATTAACGAAACGGACAGCTGTTCATTACGTTTGTTAACGGAACTTTGCCCCTAAGTCTGTAATCTGTCATAAACCATCTGTATCATGTAGGTTTTTATCTGTCATCTGTCATTTGTTTACCTGAGTGAGATGTTACCGCGGTCATCCAAAAATATGTTGCCTAAGATTATTGAATAGAAATAAGTAAATCATTTTATTAAGACCGGTAATTTCTTTATAATTTCATTGCACTCAAAAATAATAACCCTCCCCCTGAAGAAGTAAAAACTTAAATTTCCAGATTTTCAGAGGAGTTTTGACCCCCCTCCCCCCCTGGAGGGCTAAAAAGACGTAACCCCTCCCCCCTTTTTTTTAACGCCCCTGGTTTGGTCTCTTAAAATCTATTGAATAAAATTATATTTTAAAACTTTTTTTTAATCCCCTTAAGACGTGTAAAGCAAAAAAGACGCAAAATTGCATCGATAACCCTGCATAGAATGATCCAAACCAAATCAATGAATCATATTTTCTGTTTATTTCTTAATCTGCCTGATATCAAGGTATGAGATTCTAGGATAGGGTTGGCTTCGTGGATTTGTGAATTAGATTCATCTTTTAATTCATCTTCGCACACAACACATACAGTTATCAAAAATGAGCACAAAAATTGTTAATTCTAAAAATTATCAGTAAAGGAACTGTAGACGTAATTTTCATTAGGCCTCTATTTATAGAGTTACCTGAGGTCGAATTTAAAGAATTTGAGCCGCGGCTTAAATTTTAAACTCGGCTCAAATATGGTTGGTTCCACTTAAAATTGTATTAAATGTTTCAAGATTTAAGCAGGCGCTCAATTGAACCCGGTTTTTGACGGATTTGAGAAGCGGCTCAAATTCATTAAATTCGGACTCTGACCAATTTTCAACGGCACCTTTAAATCCTTGCTTGACTTACATATTGTCAGAATTTAACGCGTTTTCAAAAAGCAAAATGCAACATTTTTTATTGTTACTCAGATAGGGGTTTAAAGGGTACCAGTGTTAATTTTACATTGTAAACTGAAAATGGTAATTTACTAAAAATCACGCCTGCTGTAGTCCCTTTCAGAAAATTAAACTTTACTTCGGTATCAAAGAGATATATTATACCCAGTTTTATTTTAATTTAATTTAAAAACAAGCCAATTTTCGAGTACATAAATTCATTAGATTTATACTTTCCAATCTTAAACTAGACAGTAAATATATATTTATTTACACAAAGGCATAATTTAGGCTAAACCAAACAAGTTAAAAGTTTTAAAAATAATATATCTTAATGAGCGAAAAGGGGGTAAAAATTAAGTAACTGTGCCTATTAAAATCGATCAATGTGTGACGTTTTCTTGAACAATTTTGCAGATTAAAACAAAATAACTTGAAACGTTAAAATCAAAGAGAATAGAATATATATTAGAGTGGAATTTAGAAAATCCCTCGGTATGAATTTTGTCAGTCCCTTTCAGCCTGAAAGGGAGTTCAAAGTGTACAAATCATGTAAATGTTCACAAATTATATGCAGTAGAGTACAATAATACAGTATGTTCCCTAGACTATCCATTTCAATTTCAATTTTTTAAAGCTGTTAAATAAACTTTATAATGAATCAGGTGAATAAAAAACATCATTTGATTTATAGTTATAGCGGAAAATCATCGTTTTTAAAGTGAAGGCATAGAGTCTATGTGAAATGATCATTGGTCAATTATGAAACAAGACTATTTCATAATTTGGTTTTCTTTTAATATTAATTTTAGATTTTCTATAAAATTATGTTCCAGGGCCCAAAAGGTTATACAGCGCAAATATGTGAAGTACACCTGCAGTATGGAAACAATACAACAAAATGGCCGTTTTACACTTTTTCTAGTAAATTCCACTCTAATATATATTCTATTCTCTTTGGTTAAAATTAAAAAAAAAACGTTATATAAAATTTGGAGGTTTGATAAATATTACTCTTTTAGCTCTTTAAACTTTGTCATAGTTTTTATTCAGTTTTTCAAACTTCACTCTCAAAAAGAATTGAGTCTTTGCAACAAACTCTGTTTTTCTAATTCCTTTATCTTAAAACACAATGTCGTACGAGTACGACTGACATCTTAGATATTTTAAACTTCTGTTAGATCAACTAATATGAATTTGAAATATTTCACTATCAAGTTGAAAAGATATATGGATTAGAACATTTGAGTTTGTAGCAAAGACTCAATTACTCTCTTGCAGTGTTCATTTTAATATTGATATTTGTATAATGGTTCCTAAACAAGTTTGGTTTAAAGTTGATTGTGAATTCACAGCAGTCGCCAGCATCCAACCCACACCAAGCAAACTAAACACAGTTTTTTCAGCATCAATTGCCAATTTTATTCTTTTTAGTCTGTCATTTATTTATTGGGTGAGTCAAAAATATCGGAGACATTTCGCCTTTACTTACTCTGAGATTTTTATATTAATGGCCTTGTTTTTAAACAATTTCTCCAGAGCTGAAAACTTTAGAATGGTGGATATCGGGATTAATGCTTAATCCACTCTTTTTCTTAATCTCGAGATTAAATATTGCTTGTTCTCCTCTCATTTTTAATCTCCAGATTAATTATCCGATCAGGATTAAGGATATCCCATTCTAAAGTTTTCAGCTCAGAAGTCAAAACTTTTATGTAGAATTCCGCTAAACAACAGCGCTTGATCTAGACATCCACGATGACACTTTTAAATTTGAAAGATAAGTGATTGATCCCTTTTTTAAATGTATCTCTTGTGGGTACGAACACCGCGTGATATCCAAAATGAATTTAAAGGAAGTGTTCGCGAAAAGTGAAAGAAGATATGGGCTTAATGCGATAAATAAGAGCTTTTGATCGCTACTGATCTTACTTCTATCTGTTGCGTCTATAAGGAGAAAATTGTTAAGTCTATACCCCCCTTTCATTTTTCGCGAAAACTCCCTTCACTCAATCAATAGGTCTGCACAAGATGGAGTTCAATCCTTGATTCCAAGATTAAAGACACTAAGGGTCCATGCCCTTGATAATTTGCAAAACAAATTTTGCGGATTTTCTCCAATTTAGTGGATCCGATCTTGATGATAGTTTTGGTTTAGATAAAAATAATAAATAAATCATAATTTTTAAATCACGTATCTTTTTACCTATGAATGCATGCTCCCCCCAAAAGATATTTAATACGTATTTCTAATAGGTCCAAGAAGCAAGATAAGCGCATTTTTCAACAACTTATAGATTTTCGATATTGGAGACAAATCGAATATTCTAAAGTACATTGAGTTAATCAATTGTTGATCAAACTAACCTCATAACTAAAAATATTTGTCTCCGTAAAATCATCAATTATCTTTTTAAGAACAGTTATTTTATTTTATATTGAGGATAGATCATTAATAGCCAATTGTATCAGATTAATATGAAAATAGTCAGGCCAAATCAGAGTGTTCGATTGATTGAACTTAGTTCGGTCAGATTAATGTAATCCCACGTTTCCATCGTATTTAAAACAAAAATATCATGCTTAAGAGTTAGCATTTTATCTGGGCTAACATGGTCTCACTGCTATAAATAATATTGCTTCTAAATACAAAATAAAATAGAAAATTTAACGGAGAAATTTAGAACTTTAGTTTTAGTATTGATTTCTCTAATTATATTAAAGATGTCCAAGAAGAAAGCATACAATATGAGTTAAAATATTTAATATTTCCAAGAAAAATGTGTACAATATTAGTTAAAATATTTAACATTTATTTGGAAAACGAACAGCCTATAAGAAGCCAGGGAATTTTGCGATCCCCCAATAAAAGAACAGCGAGATTGCGGATCTCAAGTGCTCACTGTGGATGTCGAGATCAAGCAATCAGGATAATGGGTATCCAATATTAAATAATTTCCTGGTCTGACATCTATTTTATCGTGGTACAATATAAACAAAAATGTGCAACATGTTACTATTTATCTAAAGGATCTAATACTAACTATATGTTCAACATGTTACTATTTATCTAAAGGATCTCATACTAACTAAAACAAAAATACTCTTACCGTCGTCGTCATTATTATTAAAAATATTGGAAATCATTATTCTATGCTTTTCTGCTTTTGACATAAATAATCATTAAATGCAAAGCTAAAAATTAACATCACAAAATTGAAATGTATTAACGATAAATTCTAGCTGACCTAGGTTTCCAAACATTATTGAAAATAAAAAAGGAAAAAGTCTGACAGGGAAACTGAAAATAGCCAAAAACTCTAATCTTGCAATTCTTGATGGCGAAACCTTCTATTAAGGCTCACAATTTCCATTAAAAAACTGGACGTTTTTAAAAATCAACGGAAAATTTCGTCAACGAACAAAAAAACGTTAATTTTCAAGTCATAAACGAGTGAAATAAACCGTTTATGAAAATAAATGTACGTAGAATTAAAAGTAACGGACAGATCCTTTTTTAAGATAATGACAAAAACTCACATGTATCTTTGCAACCTGATTGTGTAAACCTTTCATATTTTAAGCTTAGATTATTTTATGTAAAAGAATTCATAGTTTAAAATAATTAAGGTCTACGACATCAGGTTGAAATAATAAAGGTATAATAAAATCAGAGGAGTTTGTGGCTAGGACTCAAATCCTTTAGTTGATTTCTTTGATTTAAATTGCATAAAATATTTGTTTGCAATGCGTGAAGAAGGTGTGACTGTAGACTTCTTTATTTTCTCAAAATTGAAACTCAAAACTTTATTATATAAAAAACCGTTAACGTTTAAGGCAGTTAATGGAAATTTGGTATATCTACATCTACAATTAACGCCGTTGAAATTTCGAAATCATTAACAAACTGTAGTTTCATTAACGAGCGGAAAACCTCGTTAATTGAACAAACATCCCAGTTCTTTAACCAAACGGCTGCTTAAGATGAGATATTTTTTCTGACCAGACGGATTTAAAAACTTCTAACGTGACAGCCCTTCTTAAATTTTTCCAACTTTGATCCAACAGAATTCATAGTTTTAAATATCAAAGGGATGTAAATATGACATCAGATTAAAGTTGAAAAACTGATGCATAGAAAATTAGAGTTTAAGGCGAGTAATCAGTTTCTTTATGGAATTATATTCTAAATTTTCAATAATATTCCAGAAACTTACAAAGCATACATTGACATTCTTAAACCCTGTTCTGATTTAAGTGCAGTCAAAATTAAACACTTTGTATTCAAGGCACAGTCTTGAATCAAAGCTCATTGTTTCCAACCTTATAATTAAAGATTTTGGAATCATTGTTATTTGCTCCGGATCACAACACTCACTGATTTCATATACTTAACCCAACCCATGGAATCTACTAAATTAGGGGGTTTTAAATTATTTTCCATATTATTAATTAGAAATCAATGTTTTGAAGAGATTTAATCTATTTTAACGTGAATTATTTTAATTTTTGTAAAAAAAAATTTTGTTTAGGTCAGTAGGACTTAGGTCAAGTGTTGAATATATTAAAAGAGGGAGGGTTAGNGGGGGGGGGGGGGAGAAGGGCGAAGGACACTGAGGATAGAACATATAAAAATAATTACTGAAGGTAGGATAAAAGACAAAAAGTCCGTAATACCCTGCCCGGAGAAACAGTTGTTTTTCTAGAGGAAATTAATGAATTTTTGCCACAAACTCTGATTTTCTAATTCCTATATCTTTGCAATGTAATGTCGTTGACATTTGATATTTCAAACTGTGAATTCTGATATATCAAATAATCTAAGTTTGAAATATCAAAAGATTACACTATCAGGTTGCAATGATATAGGTATTAGAAGATTTGAGTTTGTGGCAAAAACTCAGTTCCTTGATGTACGAAACGGACTGAAAGAGAAATGTAATCCAAACGATTTGTATCGATTGAGGTTTAAACGATTAAGAAAATTAATTTAAATTATTTATTTTTCAAAGAATCAAAAAGTTGAGTAGCGAATGATGCTATAGACAGGTTGATGTTGCCTTGAACAAATAATTATCTTTCTCCTTTATTTTATGCCTTACATCATTGAACTATACTGATAATCTTGCAGTATTCAAGACCCACATCATTACACTGTTCGAAAATATTGTTTTTTTAAATCTTTACATATTTTATCGATTTGGCTTATTCAACTGTATGCCGACCAATTATCTGAGATTCTAACTAATTCATCTGATTAAATCCAATAAAATGTTTTTAACCAAGAATTCGTTAGATTTCGTTCACTACTCAATAGGGTTTTTAATAGGTTCTGATAAAAGGAAAATTAATGAAAATTCAATTAAATTAACTGATGGGAAGAAAGTCAAATGACTAACTGTGAAAACATTTTTCAATGATAATTGTTTGATAAAATACATCACAAAAGTGTGTATTATGGGCTCAGGAAATACTTTAAACTTTATGTTTCAAAATATACATGATAAATGCAACAAAAAGCATAAATGAGTTAGTGTAAAATCTAAGGCCATGGCGTTATGACACTTTAAAGTCGACCAAGTCCCGAACATTTATGCAACTTGTGATTAGCCTGGATCTATGTGCCTTGTATTCTATTTAATATATCTGGATCTATGTGCCTTGTATTCTATTTAATATATCTGGATCTATATACCTTGTATTCTATTTATTATATCTGGATCTATGTGGCTTGTATTCTATTTAATATATCTGGATCTAAATGTGCCTTGTATTCTATTTAATATTTCTGGATCTATGTGCCTTGTATTTTATTTAATATATCTAGATCTATGTGCCTTCTATTTAATATATCTGGATCTATATTTGCCTTGTATTCTATTTAATATTTCTGGATCTATGTGCCTTGCATTGTATTTAATATATCTAGATCTATGTGCCTTCTATTTAATATATCTGGATCTATGTGGCTTGTATTCTATTTAATATATCTGGATGGTAAAAACACAGAACCAAGAATAATTAGCGTCAATGTTGGCATGATAATCATGTATATAGTCTTCAGACATTTCTTCTCTAAACATAGAACGTATAATAAAGAATAATTATCACTGTAATGTAATATTACGTAGATTAGGTCTGTTTGATGTTTTTTATGTCTGATTTGTTTCAAAGAATTGTCAAAAAAACTGAACCGATTTTTTTCTGACTTTTTGTTGCAATTTACATAACCCCATATCAAGTTTCTGATCTGGTCAGAATGAAAATTTTGCCTCAGAATAATTTCAATTTTTGATTTTTGCCACAAACTCTGATTTTATAACCACTATATCTTTGAAACCAAATGTTGCAGACCTTAGATATTTCAAACTATAAATTTTGTTAAATCAAATAATATGATTTTGAAATATCAAAAGTTTACAATATTGAATTCTAAAGATATTGAGGTTTAAATATTTGATTTTGTTCCAAGGACTCAATTCATTTTGGACATATCTCATTGTTATGCTTATATGTAATGATAAAGAAAAATAAACAGTATCTTTTATAATAATTTCTCTTTTGAATATGTTAAACGTACAAAAATCAATTTAATAATGTTCAAAATGCATTGGCTTTTGTTTATTCTTTTTAAAAGTTATAATCGAACAAATATATAGGATATATTTAAATGCAAATTATTCAATTTGAAGGTGGCCTAAAGTGAACAGAATTGTTAACAAAACATGAACATTTTTCTTTGGTAAAAGGGAACTGAGGCCGAATTTAAAGAATTTAAGCCACGGCTTAAATTTGAGACACGGATCAAATATGGTTTGTTCCACTTAAAATTGCGGCTCAAATTCATTAAATTCGGACTCTCAAGACTTAAATTCGAATGACCATTCTTTAATAAAGTGGATTTAGTATTTACAAAGGTACACTTTAAACCATTGTTTCATGGATAAATGGATTTCACAGTTTTCATTTAAGAAAGTTTTCATGAGTAGTTTCACTTGGGCCTTTTGGGGTTTTTGCAGCAAAAACTGAAGAAAAATGCCATAATTCCACACGTTCTAAAACAGAAAAAGGAAGATAGTTAAGGTAAAGGTACCGTTGTGAATGGGAAATATGCAATCTATAAATGCATGCATGAAGTCACTTAAAATTGCAGTCTACAGTCTCTTAACTTCAGCACACTATTGAGTGCAAATATTGGAAGAAAAGTCAAAGTTTAGTTTTCCATCTATATTGTTTTTATATTTACTCTGGGGCACAGTAGTTTAGTTTTCCATCTATATTGTTTTTATATTTATACTCTGGGGCACAGTAGTTTAGTTTTCCATCTATATTGTTTTTATATATACTCTGGGGCACAGTAAACTCAAATTCAAATCATTTTAGTTTTAAATCTTAAAGTTTTCATACACAACACCTTTATTTGAAAGAAAGAGATGTTGTTAAAAAAAAGAAAATACTTAAATCCCTTTGTTCTACCTCTTTGTGCCGGCCAAAATCAATGTTTTCTTTATATGTGCATTGGAGACAGGCTCTTTTTTTTAATTTTTCATTGAAAATCTTAATTTAAACACTGTATTTTTGCTAAATTCAAAACTGGTCAAAATATGGAATTCAAAAACTTAATTGAGAACTTCTAAAAAGTTGTAAATCGCAAATAGATTGTCAAGTACAGTAGATGGCAACGTAGAATTTGTACACTCTCGTACACTCTATACATTCTAACGTCACAATTCAACCTTGTTTTTTTTGTCCAACAAAATTATTAATAATAGTTATAATTTTAGACTTAGTGCTTATCCTTCAGTACAATAAGTTCATTGTTTTGTTTTCTTTATTTTCTGTTTTAACACTTTTTATTTAATCTTGGAAAACATGTCAACTAATGTGAGAAAATTTCGTTTTCCTTGTTATATTTGACACTTGTGACGTCGTGTATAATTGATCTATTTCTATGTTGCCACCTATTGTACTTGATAATCTATTTAGTTAACTACAACATAAATGTAAAACTTTTTGTTGCTTTTATTTTTTTGTTTTGGTTTGTTGTGTGTATTGTGTAAGTACAGTATTTCTGAATAATATATAAATAAGTTTCTGTGCTAATGGTTCTAATTATACTAATTACACTAGTTATCAGAACTTATCCTTTTTTGGTGTAACAAAACAATATAAATTTTCTTTAGGCATTTATCATCAGGTTTAAGAGAAACCAAAATTACATCAAACTCCTTTTCGTAAAAAAAAACATGAACATCCAAGAGTACACATAGATTCAGCTTGTAATGAAAAGTTTTCAAGACAGGATCAACTTTGAAGTGGCGGAACGCCTTGTGCTTTGATTTTATCGCTCTAACTTTCTTTTACTTTCTGTACCCCTTTTTAGAACAAAAAAAACACTTGTTTTTAGCTTTAGTTTTCAAGACGTAATCGGCAAAACTCTCATTGATATTTGCGTGAGGGCTTGCAACCTTTAAATTACTGTGAGTAAGTGAGTGAGTGAGTAAGTATTGGTCAATTAAATGAAAAAATCCTTTAAGGAACGGAAACGTGATGATTTTGAATTCATTAGCTGGACTGAACACGTTCAGTTATAAGTTAAAAATCACTGGCACTGGACATGTTTGTTATGTTAAGTTTAATTCTTTCTAAAATTGAATAATTTACTGAATCAATATTTTTAATTGCAATAAATATATATGCCTCTGAAAATATTTTGAGTTTTTAAAATGCTGACCAGATTACTTTGAAACAGAATGTTTATGAAATTAGAAAATGCATAAGTAGAATTCTTTTATTAGTTATCTGAATTTTTTTTTTTACAATATTATATTAATCTACATTTTTGTGGAAAATTAAATCTTCAAATATTAATTACACTAAACGTTAACGAGTAGAAATTGATAAACGCGCTAATGTACCCACTAAGACCCAGACCGGAAGGATGGCATTGAAAATTATTTTAAAAACGATCGTCGTTTTTAAGATATTTTTTTAATCAAAACAAACTGATTATACAAAACGAAGCTATTATTTTGTACTAACTGGAGGGCCCGACGTTGCCCGTGGAAAAAAAGTTTAAAAACAAAAAAAATTTGAATTATTGTTTAGCCTATGCCACCCCTGGCCACCCATGAGTGTCCAAAAACAATTCAGCCCAATCAGTCCAGTCGTTTGGCCGGCTATACGTATACCAATGTCTTGTTCTATTATATAGAAGATTTAAATAAACGAGCGGTAACAAAGGGGCCTCTTCGAAACACTTGAACGTCAGAATATTTGATATTTTTAGTTTAACATTTTTAAAATAGATATTTGCTAAAGATTTATTTTTTATGCACTTGAGTAAGCCAACCAAAATAACGGTCAATGACCAGAAATGGTTATGGTCCTTAAAGGGAGTGTTCGCGAAAAATGAAAGAGGGTATAGGCTTAATATGATGAAAAAAGCGCTTTTGATCGCTGCTAATCTTACTTCTATCTGATGCGTCTATAAGGAGAAAATTCTTAAAGACGACGAATACCAAAGAACGTAGTGTCCATACAAATTCAAAAAGATGCAACATTCAACTCGGATCGTAAAGAAATCAATTTAATTCCAAACAAATCTTTGTATATTACAAACAATAGTCATCGATTATTTTTCGACCCATTCGTAAATAGTTGATATTTCATAATATTTCGTATTTTTCATGATCTGAGAGTTACTTTTGAAAACATTTATTCATGTTTCGACGATTTTTTATAATAAAGACGACATTTTCATGTTTTCCAGGAATGTTCTAAAATAAATGTATACAGTGAAAATTATTTTTTTTAAATTAAAAATATTATGAAATATTAACTATATACGAATGCGTCGAAAAATAATCGATGACTATTGTTTGTAATATACAAAGATTTGTTTGGAATTAAATTGATTTCTTTACGATCCGAGTTGAATGTTGCATCTTTCTGAATTTGTATGGGCACTACGTTCTTCGGTATTAGTCGTTTTTAACAACTTTCTCCTTATAGACGCAACAGATAGAAGTAAGATTAGTAGCGATCAAAAGCGCTTTTTTTCGCATTAAGCCTATACCCCCTTTCAATTTTCGCGAAAACTCCCTCTAAACCAAAAACATCGTTTGTCATTTTTAAATTTTTTTATAGATTAGGTTTAAAAAAACGATTAACACTCAACAGTGATTTAAACATTTCTTAAAGTTTCTTATTTATTTGATAAAATTTTATGTTCATTGTTCATTGTTACTATTTATTAACCTTTGATTTCCAGCTCAGATGCTTTTAGATATAAACTATCTTATGAATCCCATGGACAAAAAGGAAACAACATTTCTAAACAAAGATTACTGGGCTAATTCAAAAGTGTTTTTAGGGAAGTTTTCTCAAAAAATTCAGATTATGAATTTTGTCACTTCAATCCAAAGTTTTTTGATTCCTGTGGACAAAACAATGGATTTCCAATTATTTTTCTATAAGAAATAAGGATTTTATTTTATAAAAAATACATTTATTCAATTATTTTATAGACAACAATAGGGTTTGCAGCGAACGAAACGCTTGCAAAAATATGCGAAAATTTTTGTTCGTTTTCCAAACTTTTCACGAAATTTTGCATTTTTTCGCGAAAATGAATAAAGCAAAAAATGCGAAAAAATTTCGCGAAAATTTCGTATTTTTTCTTATCGCTGCAAACCCTAGAAAACATACATGTTTTGATTTTTTCCATAATTCGTTTATATATTGTTTACAAAAGTGGTTAATCTTTAAAACTTTATATTCCTGATATTTTATATTCCTAGAAAATCATAAAACTTTTTAACAAATTATTTAAGTGAAATTATACTTTGTTCTGTTCAACAGTTAAATAACTGTGTGCTTGCTACAAACACTCAGATTTGTTAAATCCTTCCATCTTTCCATCCTGATGCCACATTATTATATATATTTCAAATTATAAATTATTATAGATCAAATAGTCGATGTCTAAATTATAAAAGGTTTACACCATCAGATTGCAAAGGTATAGGAATTAATTTTGAGTTTGTGGAAAGAGATCTTTAAAAACTACTAAATAATTTTTTTAAGGATAATAGAATTTTAGAAACGAAAGCTGCACGGGTAAAAACTGGAGGGTGGGGACCAAAAGCCCCTCCCCCATTTTTCTTGCTTTTTTAAATCATTTGTTTGATATTTAATAATTTTGTTGTACATCTAATTACAGTTTTAGTCTTATATCAGGAATTTTAAGTTCGGTTTTACATAAAAGAAAACATTTTTAACATTATTTGTGCTTTAAATATTGGGCTATTGTCATTATATCTACAATACAATATATCATATAAACATAATATTTTCCAACATAAAACTATTACTACAATTACTAAAAATTACATTTTACTTTTTCATAAACATTAAAAACATTTTACCGACAACATATATCTTATCTAATTCAATAAATCATAATTTCAAAAATATCTTATTTTTTATTATATAGATTGATTTCTGAACAAAAATTTCGAGTAAGTATTCAAAAAATTTACTTGGATTCAAATTTTAAATAAAAAATATTACTGGAAAAAGTAAAAAAATCATTATGCTTTTCATTTTAAGTTTAACATTCATAACTCAATATTTTCCATTGATAAGTATTATTTGAACATATTTACTTTACATACGTGTACACTCCGCACCCTTATACATTACAATTTTTGGTTTTAACGAGAATTATTATTAATAAAAAACTTATCGATTCCAAGTATAGCTTAAATGTTATTTTATGAATAGTCCACTTATTTACTAATTTACAAAGAGATTTTGACTAATTTTAATGATATTACTGACAAATTTTGAATTTGATTAGAAAAAAAAAATGTGAAAAATCAAATTAATCTTCTAAATTTCCAATCCGCAAAATCCGCAAAATTGTAATTTGACTAATAGATCCCAATTTTTATTAATGTTTAAGTCAAACTTTGTTCGGGGTTGGCATTTTTGATTTCTTATGATTTTAAATTCATTTTAGTTTATACCGTAAGGTGAGAAAATAGTAATCTCTAGATTTGAAAACTAATTTCATTCATCAATATCCAAGCATCACAATATTTTGAATTCAGTCTTTCTCTTGGAAAATCATTTTGAATTTAATTATTTACTTTTTGAATATTTTCACTTTCATATAATAATATAATATATATATAGTTAGAAATAATAACTTTTTATTGATATTTTTGTCTTATATACCTATAAGATCATTATTATATAAAACACTAGCTGAAGTGCCCGGCTTTGCCCGTGGAATTTTTTTTTTCTGTATTTTTTAAATCATTTTTTAGAAGAATCCGTAAAAACAGCAAAAAAACAATTGCTTTTACCTATTATTGTTGTTTTAATTGTTTGAGTAGGGAAACTTGTAAAAATATTGCAATAGCCACGGAACATTGGAACAATGCACTTGAGAAGATAAAGTAACTAAAGACGACAAATAGTGGTAAATGTAGACTTAAAATCTAGCCTACAGTCCTTTTCCAGGATTAAATATTTCTCTTTGAGAATAAAGTTATTAATAATCATTCACTCTCTTGCACTGTACTTTACCTAAAGTTTTCTAAAATAGAATATGTGACTAAATGCCTTTTAACGAAAAACAGTAACTCTGCTGATTAAATTGTTTTAACAAAGTTCTTAAAAATGCACAGAAAGGATTTACTGCACAAGCTAACTATTCACTATATTTTTATAGTCTTAATCGTCTTTATAACTACGTTTATTCACGCTAATGTAATGCTAATTTACACTGTACTGCGTAGTACGTACTGTACTCTTTACGGCAGGGTCTGTGAACTCTGGCGGGGTTTAAATTCCGGTTCAGGCAATTGCTGTTCATTATTCATATTTATTTGATTCCTTAGTCTTATATCAGTAGTTTTTTTCTATAAACTTCACTGTGGGTTTGTGGAACAGTAGTTTTCTGCAATTAATCAGAATCAAACTTCCAATAAGCATAAATAACAGTTAATAAATGTTTACAGATTGATATGAAGATCGTTAAGAGAGTCTGTAGATTCAGATCGAACACAGTTTATAATACAGGTTGACGAACCATGATCGCCGGCTGATCTATCGGAATGATCGCAGGTACAGGGTGATCTATATTTGTAGTTTGATGGTTCTCATGCTCATCTGCGGTTGTCTTCTCCGCTAGAAGAGGAATACGGGGAATATCCAACCTGTTCATTTCTATAGGTTGCCGCCTTCTTTCCTGCATTTTTAGAGTAGATTTAGAAAACAATTTTATAATTCTTGAATAATCATGAAACATAAATAGAATGACTTTTTAACCTAAAAACAGTGATCCAACTTATTTATTTAATTATCGATAATTTTATTTTTAAAAGTTTCTCTCAAAATGTTTGCAAAATAACCAAGATCCTGAATTTTTCATCACACAGGGTGAATGATGAACTTCAATCCGTAGATTATCCTTTTATTTAAAAAATCTTAAAGGGACTGTATAAGAAAAATAAAAGGGGGTATAGGCTGAAAGCTAATCACTTTAGATCTTGATCGCGACCCATTAAAGTTATATCTGAGAATCCTGTCTCGAGAAATTTATATAAAACTGTGTCAAATTTATATGAAAATTTATATATTTTGTATAGAAATGGTGGATTTGAACTGATCATATTCAGCAAATACGCAACCAATCGGAAAATTAAGATATCCCAGATAAACCTAATTATAACTTAGGTTTCCTCCAATTATTATAATTTTTATTTGTTTTTTAATAGATAAAATTGATAATATGAGTCCGTATTACGTCATCAGAACTCCCGCCAATGGTAGTGCAGTATACCGGTCACGTGTCTCCCATTGTATCACATGACATGCTGAATATGATCTGTTTAAACCTACGAGTTCTATACAAAATTCTATATTTATGAATTTTCGTGTAAATTTAACACAGTTCTTTGTCAATTTCTCGAGACAGGAACATGACGATATAACTTTCATGGGGTGCGATCAAGAGCTAAAGTGATTAGCTTTCAGCATATACCCCCTTTCATTTTTCCTTTACAGTCCCTTGTAGTTAAAACTTGCAAAATTTAAACAAGGACTAACTAATCAGTGGGAAATATGATTAAGGTCTACGATTCAAAAGAGTAAATGGTGTACAATACATGAACTGATGAATTTGACAGCTTTTCGAAAGTGTCAATTCAAATTGTCCAAGTTACCAAAAACATTTTGCGTACAAAATGAGTTTAGAAAAGATGTTAAAAATAAGTATGACCCCTTTTATTATTATATTAATATTATGTTATAATTATTCAGGTTTAGGTCTACTCTTATCCCTGGCGTTCTGGGTGCAGGGGAACAACTGCGCGGGGAGCACATGGTATCAGATTCAGAAACCCAGCCCTGCAATATTCAAGTTTAAAATTCCCATCAGTGGCAAGTCCGGTTAACAGCTGCATCCTTTAAGGTAATGAAAGCGTAATTTCTAAATGACCCTCCATGCAAAGATGGCATGCCCGATTCACAACGGTACCGTTAAAAGCTTTATCTGATCATGTATGAATTATACATAATTTTTTATAGCTTTGAAAACTCATTACTTTCAATTGATGATTCTGTACAAATGTGACTTGCGCCATTTTACTTTTGGAAAACAAACCAAGGAATCATCAGAATGAGGCTCTTTTAAACCTAGAAAAACGAAAATATCTTCCTCAAGATTGATCAGAGAAAGATTTCAACGGTACCGTCGTAAACCAGGTGTTGTCATCTTTTGTCATCGTTGCATTAGGGCCACTGGAAATTACGCTTACAGTCCATTTTTAAAGAATTGATTGATTGAAAATACAACATTTTTAGATAAGGTTTAATTATTTTAATCTAGAGAAACGACAGTATCTTCCATATTACTGATAAATGTGTAAAGGGTTCCGTTGAGAATCTGAGATGGCTCTTATTAAATATAGGTTCACTTGAAATTACAAGAACACTCCCTTTTGTAAATTCTTTCGTTTTCAATGACTGAGGCTAAAAAATTAATTAAGATGAAAAAATGTTGATTAAATTCTTCTTTGTCCATTAATTAAATGTCTGCAATAATTAAAGATTTTTTTTAGAAATTTATAGCAAATAACATGCTTAACCTTTCTTCTTAACTTGTAAATAATTAAAGAAAATAAGCTTTAAATCTACATGGTATGGTAAGAAAATGCATATTAATCCCACACGTACTCCAATTAGCCGCTGGTTAAACCGTTATACCATGCATCAATCAGAATTTGTTTTCAACTTATGAAATAAGTTCACAATGTTGTATTTCTTAAATATAATATAAAATATCAGGATGCTTCATAAGTCTATACATTTTTTATTTTTATTTTCTAAATTTGTTATTCGATAAATAAAAATGCCAATCAATCTTAAAATGAAATTCTCTCAAAAATAAAATATTTTATAGAATTTATTAAAAAAATAAACTTATTTACACAAATCAATCTCATTTGTTTTTATAACTAAAAAGTTTGAGAGCAGTGCAGAAAGTTATTATGATATTATTATTATTATTGATAATAATCAATAATGCAGAATAAAATGGTGGTTCAAATTTGATTTATGTTTGCTAGTTCTTCTCCTGGTTGATTTTATAAATCATGAAAACATTAGGAGTAAAATGAGTTTCTTCTCTTTATATAAGAAACATGAATACAACACAGCTCGGAATATAAATTAGAAAACAGGAAGCACGCTTCCGGAAACTGGAGAGAGAGAAAATAAAGACCTTTTAATAAACATTTAATTTCGACCCATGATTCCCACAAAAGAGGGGCGTTAAGTTGCCTAACGTCCCACGGGACATTATGTTACGATAGCACTTTTTAAAAAAAATTGACTTAACCAATTAGCTGTATTTTCAGCCGTATATTGATCTCTACTTCAAAGTATGTAAAAAAAGCGTAAAAAACGTTACACACTTTAATATGTAAAAAATATAGCACAACAATGTACTTCAAAATAGCAATGATTTTCGTCACAACTTGTGAAGCATTAAACCATTGAATACTTTTTCTTTATGAAGATGAATAATTTAAAGTTTTTCTCTGGAAGTAAATTTCAAATTTATGCAGTAGAAACAAGAAAGAAAATGAATAGAGCATGTAACTTTTGAAATGTGTGACTGCTCACTCTGGGCCGTAGTAATTTGAATTCGAACAGGACCTGCCCAGTTTGTACCGGGCTGCCAGATAACAGCGTGTACTGACCCGATCCTATTACCATATTCTGTACAGTACGTCGCTTTAACCAGACACGACAGGGGTCAATTTTCTTGGCATAGTCCCGTCGGAGGGCTAACTTTGACAACTCCCATGGCGGGTTCAGACTTTTTACAGTACCCGGCCTAATCCCAGGCCTATTTGACCGACCCCACTACTGGCTTAGTCCACCGTGTACTTACTCAATTTTGTGTACATTCCATCTTAAATTTCCAGGTAAACTGTTACCTGAAGGAAGTAGAGAGCCAAGCGTAGAGGATCGGATTCATGCAGGAATTACTGTATGCAAGAACATGAGATGCAATCTGCAGCAGAACAATGTATTAGACAATAGTAGATTTAGGGACCGAGTTTAATGAATGTGAGGGGTCATTAATTTGAATTACCGATTCAAATCTTTCCTTACTTTTACTTTGCATCGATGGTTCAAATTTGAGTCAGCGGTAGGTTGTTCAATGACATAGCTCAAATTTATAGAATTTAGTTCGAGAAATGATAATTTTTAATCCCTTTATCTTTGCAATCTGACAGTGAAAACCTTTGATATTTTAAAATTTGACTGTTTGCTCATGCAAAAACCATAGTTTGAAATATAAAAGATATAAGAAATAGAAAATTGGATCTTTTTAAAAGTGTTCTATTCCTTTGGTAAATAATAATTTGATAAAAAAAATCCTATGATAAATAGTCGGCGTGTAGCTGGAATTGTGAATTTAAATGTATTTGGGAAATTGTACTTTTGAGAATAATACATGAACTGGGAAAAGAAATTTTGGAGTTAGTCTTTTGAACTTTTTTTATTAGAATTTTGGGACTTAGTACCTCGAATAAAGTCCTAAGATAAAGAATATTTTTGGAAAAAATATTTTTTAAACTAGCCTTCTGGAAAAAGTCTTTTATTGAATATTCTTTCAGAGAAAGAATATTTCTGTTTGAATATATAATGATTTGGATCTAAGTTAGTAGAATTCTCTCCATTTAAAAATCCCAATCTCTGAACTTAACTGATTTTGCCTATATTTTCATTTTAAGGATGGTAACTGTATAGATTTAAAGGGATTTAAGGAGCAGGATGGAGTAAATTCTACCTGTAGGATTGTAACTGGATAGAGTCCAAGGGATTTATGGAGCAAGATGGGTTGAATTAAATCTACCAGAGGCCAAATTGAATTGAAGCCGCGGCTTAAATTTGAGACGGGGCTCAACTATGATTAGTTTCACTTAAAATGTTATGCAATGTTTCAAAATTTAAGCCGACACTCAATTGAAACCGGATTTTGGTGGATTTGAGACTTGGCTCAAATTCATTAAATTCGGACTCTGTATTCTTATTTTAGGAATTGTAATTGGATAGTCTAATGGATTTGAGGAGCAGGATGGATTGTATTGAATATACCTGTATTATTATTTTAGGGATTGTAACTGGATAGAGTCCAAGGGATTTAAGGATCAGGATGGATTGTATTAAATCTACCGGTTTTATTATTTTAGGGATTGTATTCGTAACTGGAGAGAATTCAAGGGATTTAAGGAGAAAGAAGGATTGTATTAAATCTACCTGTATTATTATTTTAGGGATTGTAACTGGATAGAGTCCAAGGGATTTAAGGAGCAGAATGGATTGAATTGGGAGCCAGGATACTGCAAATACAGCTGTAACTGCAACAACCATCCTCACTACTCTCTTCTTGTTCTAAAAAACAATACTTATAGATAATTCAAATAATAATTATAATAAGATGATTCAATAATTAAAGAACAATACACTTCGGCTCAATCAAGTACTGGCCGACTTTCAACCAACAAGGGCAAGCTGTACAGTACACATACAGTACAATACATATATATAAATAAATATAATTTCCTTATATGTCTGCAACCTGATATTTCACTGTAATCCTAAGGTTGCAAACTCTCACACAAAAATCGATGGAACTTTGCCAATACTTATTAAAAACTGAAGCTGAAAACAATTCCTTTACAGTCACATGTCTTGAGTTACCAAAAAGTCAGTTTTTACTCTTTTCCTTATCTTTTGTGGTAATTCAAAAGATTAAGTTAAATCCTTTAAGATGCTTCGCCGATTAACCAATCTGTGATTATAGATGTATAAATATACAATACATTCAGTATAAAGGCGAGCTTTTTCCTGATAATCCAATTTGTAGCTTTTATTTTACAATCGTTAAATTTACAGAGTTGGTTCGTTTTACTTGTTCGTTCATAACGCATATGCCGACAAAAAAGTAAAGAGAAAAGGGAAAAAATGATGTTTATCAGGTCAAATAATTTGGATAATTGGACATTCACGTCAATTGGGTCTTTATAAAGAATATTTGCACTTAAGCGAAAACAATAGATATTGCATAATATCAAAACAATTATAATTTCACTTTGTTTAACCTTAACCTTTAAAAGTATAAAATCCTCCCTTATTTAAATCCTTCCTGAACCTATCGTGAAAGTTTATATGAAATAAGTTGGAAAACTTTTATAATTTCCTCTTTATATTTTTCAACATCTAATCCTTTACACCATAACAGAGGTGTGGTTTTTAAATCTGTGATGTGCGCAAAGTGATTAGTATACCGCGTTTTATTCTTAGCTTTCATTCTAAAGCGGTTATCTGGAATACGGCAGGAACAAAGCATATCATGAAAATTCCAAATGAGTTTAAGTCAAGGAACATAGCTTTTATTAGATACAATCATGGAAAATATGTAATCGAATTTCATATTAAGCAGTCGTTAAAGGATACAGTCAAGGAACATATCAATAGTCTAATGGATACAGTCAAGGAATATATTAAACAGTCTAATGGATACAGTCAAGGAACATATCAAACAGTCTAATGGATACAGTCAAGGAATATCTTAAACAGTCTAAAGGATACAGTCAAGGAACATATCAAACAGTGTAATGAAAACAGTCAAGGAACATATTCAATAGTCTAATGGATACAGTCAAGGAATATCTTAAACAGTCTAATGGATACAGTCAAGGAACATATCAAACAGTCTAATGGATACAGTCAAGGAATATCTTAAACAGTCTAATGGATACAGTCAAGGAACATATCAAACAGACAGTCAAGGAATATATTAAACAGTCTAATGGATACAGTCAAGAAATATATTAAACAGTCTAAAGGATACAGTCAAGGAATATATTAAACAGTCTAATGGATACAGTCAAGGAACATATCAAGCAGTGTAACGAATACATTCAAGGAACATACCAAACAGTCTAATGGATACAGTCAAGGAACATATCAAACAGTCTAACGAATACAGTCAAGGAACATATCAAACAGTCTAATGGATACAGTCAAGGAACATATCAAACAGTCTAATGGATACAGTCAAGGAATATATTAAACAGTCTAATGGATACAGTCAAGGAACATATCAAACAGTGTAATGGATACAGTCAAGGAATATATTAAACAGTCTAAAGGATACAGACAAGGAAAATAATAATTCAGTATTTAATTATTAAAATGTAAAAAAAAAAATGTAAAATGTAGGAAAATGCATAACTGGATTTTGCAAATAAAGAACCCTAGGGCTTTTCAAAAATGTATCAAATGTTGAAGATATAGGAATTAGAGCCCCCCACCCCCCACACTTTTTGTGGATAATAAAAAAAAAGTTGGATCATATTATTTCTATTTTGGTAAATCAATTATTTTCTTCTCATATTTTGTTGAACATCATTTGTCTTACAGGAATATCATAATGTAGAGGGGAAATAAAAACATTTAATTGTTGTTTGAAAATGGTGTTTCATGATAAAAACAAGGAATTATGTACATAACTTACATCTTTTTCTTTATTATTTCTCGATAATGAGGTATAACAAACAATAAACATTTATCATCGGAATATACAAGTACTATATTCCTACAAATATACTGCATTTTATAAAGGGGGAAGAGGGATAAAACAAACTTTTAAGCTTTGAAATATTGATGATAAAAGTTTTACAGTTTACTTACGTCATCATTTTGTTTAAAATTTTTCAAACAGAGTAGCCTAGCATGGTAGCTTTAATCAAATAATTGTACAATCTGATTTATAAAAAAACATTTAAAATGTCATTCAATTAAATGAAATTTAAATCATGAAATTCAATTTAATTTCTTTAAAAGCAAAATGTTAAACTTAAATCAGAATCTCTGAAAGAGTTGTTTGCTGAAAACAGCAAAGTTGTATCTATTGTTTTCCATGAAAATATTTTCTCATTGTTCTGTGCGTTAAAATATTATAGTAAATATTCTTTAATAAGTTTGTTATACAAACGTGTGTTATGCGGTATATGCCCTTCTGAACACTACTCAGATATCCATATTATTGATATTATTGATTCTAAAAATAGATTTTTGAGATATAACGTTTTATGAGATCCTAAAAAAATTGTTTAGACTTGTTAGTCGATAGGTTGAACTGTATTTTATCTATAAATTGAACTAAACAATAGGATTTCATATTTGCTGTCCCTCATTCTCCTCTAAACAGAAGCAGAAGGTTAAATGTGTGGCCTCGAAGCTTCAATTTAACGTATAAGTATGAGAGCACGGGCATCCGTCGTACATTTGAATTTCCGAGCCGGGTCAGCCTTTTCGGTGACAGTTTGTACTGTACCTAGCTCTGTGGGAAGGACTAGTCGGTGCAACAAGGTTGACGCGGTCAGACTTTATGCTTCATATAGGTTGAATTTACTTTTACTAAAGGGGCAGCTGTGCATGTGAGGAGCAAATTTATTAGAAACATACTAGAAACTCAAAACATCTTTTTCTTCTAAAAAGCTGTTTATATAAAAGAAGAGTTATAATTAATGATCTTATTTTCTAATCCCTTTATCCTTGTAACCCAATGTCGTAGACCTTTGTAGATATTGCGAACTATAAATACTGTTAGTGCAACTATCTCTCTTGTCGTCTAAGGGAATGTAACAATTGTAATTTAATCTCTGCTAATTTTTTAATGTTTACATGTTTACCTTTAATGCGTCCCTACTGCTACTGTGACCTCCAGGACCCTAAACAAAAAGAAAAAAATTAGCAGGGGAAAAAAATTCAAACTTTTTTCATAGCTCTGTATTCATCTTTAAACTATCTATCGGTTCACTTTTGGGTCTGTTAATTTTCTTTAAAAAAAGAAAATATTTTATATTTAAAATGGTTGAATTACCTTTAAGCTAGAGATTAAACGTGTTTTATTATCTTTACATGTAAATTTATCTCTTTCTATTTAGTAGAAGACATATTCCTTCCTTTATCTAAATCCGATGCAAGAGCCAAGATCTAAAAGATCAAGATGATTGGCCTTTATAAATTGGCACTTGGGAAATATCATTTCCTTAATCTTCTTATATACATATAAATGTAGATATATGTTCATTGTTTCATTTTTTCATTTTTTTTTTACTTTTCCCCTCTTTTTATATTTTGTTCTATTTATAAAAAGATTTATATATCAGTTAATGAAAAATGTTGTCATTTTAATTGACGTTCTTTGTGGTGTATTAAGGTTAGTACATAACATTCATTTTTAACTTTTGATATTTAGATTTGTTTTGTTTAGAATTATTTTGATATCCCATGAAATTTAAATCATGAAATTCAATTTAATTTCTTTAAAAGCAAAATGTTAAACTTAAATCAGAATCTCTGAAAGAGTTGTTTNGGGGGGGGGAAGGAAATGGGGTTAGTTAATTTCATAAACATGAATGTAAAGGGTACCCCCTCTTTTCTCAAATGGAGTGTGTTTACTGCCAGAATGATGTTTTAAACTTGTTTTTAACGGATGGGGGAGGTGACTCTCGTAAACTGTATGTTGACGATAAAATTCTATATTTAATCTACAGTAACACAAAGATATCACTTTTAAAAATTACAATGAGAATTTTGTCAATTAATACTTAACAATACTTAATAAAAACAAGTGGCTTAGTGTTCTAAAATGTTAAGGGATACAAAAACTAGTGGTTTAGTGTTCTAAAATATTTAGCGATACAAAAACAAATGGCTTAGTGTTCTAAAATATTTAGTGATACAAAAACAAGTGATTTAGTGTTCTAAATGTTTAGTGATACAAAAACAAATGGCTTAGTGTTCTAAAATATTTAGTGATACAAAAACAAGTGACTTAGTATTCTAAAATATTTAGTGATACAAAAACTAGTGGTTTAGTGTTCTAAATGTTTAGGGATACAAAAACAAGTGACTTAGTATTCTAAAATATTTAGTGATACAAAAACTAGTGGTTCAGTGATACAAAATCAAGTGATTTAGTGTTCTAAAATGTTTAGTGATACAAAATCAAGTGATTTAGTGTTCTGAAATGTTTAGGGATACAAAATCAAGTGGTTTAGTGTTCTGAAATGTTTAGTGATACAAAATCAAGTGGTTTAGTGTTCTAAAATGTTTAGGGATACAAAATCAAGTGATTTAGTGTTCTGAAATGTTTAGTGATACAAAAACAAGTGACTTATTATTCTAAAATATTTAGTGATAGAATAAGTAGTGGTTTAGTGATACAAAGACAAGTGGTTTAGTGTTCTAAAATGTTTAGTGATACAAAAGCAAGTGATTTAGTGTTCTGAAATGTTTAGGGATACAAAATCAAGTGGTTTAGTGCTCTAAAATGTTTAGGGATACAAAGACAAGTGCCTTAGTATTCTAAAATGTTTAGGGATGCAAAATCAAGTGGTTTAGTGTTCTAAAATGTTCAGAGATACAAAACAAGTGGCTTAGTATTCTAAAATGTTTATGGATACAACAAAAAGTGAGTTAGTGAGTGAGTGACACTGTAACTTCGATCCAATCATGAAATTTGATGCAACTTTCCAATCAGTCTGAATTTATGTACCCCNCTTCTCGATAATCTTAAAGATTTTCAATGTGAAAAACTATTTTGTAATTCTTGCTCCTCCCTTTAACTCTCATTTATTTTTATGTGTTCCACCCTGAGAATGAAGGTACCCGACCTCTCCTTGACGGATTCCTGTACGTTTATGAACAGTATCCTCTCCAGTGGCTCCAGCTCCCTCCATCCCATGAGCAGCATGACATCCAGCAGCACCTCTTCTTCAAGTCAGCATCATTGCAAAAACTGACTCTCCAGTGGGAGGCTGCGTGTTAAACAGCCCCTGGCTATCAATGCCTCCCCGTCTCAAGTTTATAAATATGTTTTAAAATATGATATTTTCTATGTTTTTGGCTTGGGACAAATATATATATTTGATTTGATATTTGAAATATATATATTTGATATACAGGGTGTCTAAAAAAACAGGAATAAGGGTCTACAGACTCTTTTTAATTTTTAATTTTAAAGGCTCCTGCGTAAAGTTTCCAACTGGAGTTAGTAATTTTGTAAAAATAAGATAATCTCCGTTTGCATAATTTTTGTATAAGGGTCTACAGACTTGCTTGCATAGGAATTTCAAGATTGAGATAATTTTTGATATCTACGTGCAATTAACGATTCAATGAGGCCAATTTTAGTCTTGTGTATTTAAAATTAATAATTTCATAGGCTCCTAAAGTTTCCAACTGGAGCGAAGTTAAAAGAAAAGATAATCTCCGTCTGCAAAATTTTATATTCAATGTTACGTTACAGTTTATTACAGTACAATTGTTATTTTTAAATTTACAAGCCTAAAATTGGGCTTATTGAATCGGAAATTGTACGTAGATATTAAAAATGGTCTCAATTTTGAAAATCCGATTAAAAACGAGTCTGCATAGACCCTTATGTGCAAACGGAGATTATCTTTTTTTACTAAATTACTCACTCCAGTTGGAAGCCTTTAAAATTGTCATTTTAGCATCTGTAAGACCAAAATTGGTCTCATTAAACCAGAAATTGTAAATAGATTTTAAAAATGGTCTCAAACTTGAAAATCAGAATACAAACAAGTCTGTAGACCCTTATCCCCGTTTTTTTGACACACCATATATATATATATATATATATATCTACCTGTTTAAGAAGTCTGTAAAGCATAACAGAGTAGAGACAAGTGATGAGTGAGAGTGGAAGAAAGTAACCAAACACAAAGAACAGAATCTAATTACAAGCATAAAACAACATTTATTTTTAACGATTAAGGTTATACACTTTAATTAGACATCCTAATTTATTCCATATTTGATAATTCACATTACGATCTAATGTTTTCATAGGGAAAAATATCAGGAACGAAAAATTATAATTATAATAACTAAGTTTAAATGATTATTTAGATATTTTTTTTAGAATTTGCGCCATATTTAGCTATCGCTTGAAAAGTACAAAAAACTTACAGTTCTACGCAATTTAAAAAAGAGCTAGAAAATGTTTTTAACTCCATAGCTTAGGATTTTCAAATTCTTATAGTTTACTTACTTGGGGTATAGGTGGTCTTAGTTAGAAATTAAATAATTAATTTGTTGTATGTCTACTGTCGAATGATTATGCATGTAGTACATTAGGCAGCATTAATCAATTAGAATTAAACAATAGGGAGATTCAACCTGTCCTTCCTTATTGGAATATACAATTGGAATACTTTCAGCATATTAACATTACATTATATTTTACATATATATATATATATATATATAAGTACAAGTATAATAGATAATAGATATATATATACTCTATTATATTTGTACTTATCCTTCAAGATTTGAAGGAACGAACATTAAAGGGAATTTTGGCGTACTTTCAAGAGACCCTCCAAGATGTCCGATTTACAACTGACAAACTCTCAAGTTTTCCAATAATCTCAAAACCACAAGGGGGGGGGTGTCTTCACCGCAGCGAGGATTAGACAAAGGGTGGAAAGGGTATAGTTGTAAATAATGACGCAAGGTAGGATTTTTACAAAATTTTTATGTTAAAATATATCATTAAAACTCATGTCTTCAACTTTTAAATGATTATTAACCTAGAAATTATCTTACATGGAATTTGCTCCAGGAAACCTAGAGAACTTATTACCTGGAATATTCTCCAGGAAACCTGGAAATCTTAGTACCTGGAAGTCATTTTTTGCATTGAATACGCTCCAGGAAAACTGGAAATCTTCTTACCTGGAATACGCTCCAGGAAACCTGGAAATCTTATTACCTGGAATACGCTCCAGGAAACCTGGAAATCCTTGAGATAGGAGCAGGAGTACTAAAGAAAAAAACTTATAATTTTTTGGGGGGCACGATTAAGTTCTTTAATTCATCCATGACCAATAATCCTGTTAAAAAATAGTAAATTTCGGAAGAACTTCTTTTTTATAAGCATTTTTTCGTGTCATTCATTGATCAAAATTAAAATTCATGAAAAGAAGGGAAAGAGAAAATTATTACTAAAAGAAGAATCTTACCGGTCCATCCGTCACTGTTTGGTTCTCTATCTGTTTTTATTAATATTCATTATTTATTCATTTTATCATTATTATCTTCATTATAGAGTAATCACAAGTTGATGCATCCAAGAAAATAGTATTAATATAAACAGTATGAAAATTTTTAGATTTGGGAGATTGGGGAGGGGGAGGGGGGGGAAGGACCCTCATGAAAGAAGCAGTGTATGCGGATTGGGGAGGACCCTCATGTAAGAGATTGTGGTGGGGAGAGAGGGAACCCTCATGAAAGGTACAGTGTATATGTGGAGGGGGAGGGGGACCCTCATGTAAGAGATTGTGGAGGGGAGAGAGGGGACCCTCAGGAAAGGTGCAGTGTATTGGGAGGGAGGGAAGGGGTCTCATGGAAGGTGCACACAAGAGATGAGTCTCAAGAGACAGAGATGGATAATACGAGTAGATGAGTCTCTGTGGAGGAGAGAGATAAATGAAAATAGAATAATCCGATTTATCTTCACCAGATAAACGGATCTCACCAATTGTAGCTTTTACACATTGTTCTCCTTGGATAGGTATTGTTTAAGATTTAAAGGGAATTTCTCCGATTAACAACTGAACCTTTTTTACAGCTGAGCCAAAAAGTTTTTTTCTAGAAATTGATAAGTGGAACTAAACCTGAGAAGAATTGAAGTAAATAAACAATTCATTTAAAGATGAAAAACGACGATATCTTCCTCATACTACATAGATAACGCGCGGTTTAAGCTGTGAATCGGACATGTAAGTCTTTGATTGGAAATTAGCTACAAATTACTGTTGAGCACTAGTTAAACTATCCGTTTCTCAATCATGAATTAGGACCTCAGGTCATGTGGAGGGAGAAACATTGTTAAAATAAATCTTCTTTGATATTCATAAAATTCCTTTGGTCCAGACATAGAGTCCAGGCCGTGAGCTAGAATAGCCGGGCTAGCCAGTAGAGTCGTCAGCATCCAGATAAACATTATTACTAGCTTAGTGTTCCGAACAGTCCTTAAACATTATCATTGGGTTAAACATTATCACTAGTTTAGTGTTCCAAACAGTCCTAAACATTATCATTGAGATAAACATTATTACTAGCTTAGTGTTTCGAACAGTCCTAAACATTATCATTGGGATAAACATTATCACTAGCTTAGTGCTCCAAGCAGTCCTAAACATTATCATTGCAGATAAACATTATTACTAGCTTTGTGTTCCGAACAGTCCTAATCATTATCATTGGGATAAACATTATCACTAGCTTAGTGTTCCGAACAGTCCTAAACATTATCATTGGGATAAACATTATCACTAGTTTAGTGTTCCAAACAGTCCTGGGCATTATCATTGAGATAAACATTATCAATAGCTTAGTGCTACAAACAGTCCTAAACATTATCATAGGGAAAAACATTATAAGTAGCTTATTGCTCCAGATAAACATTATCTCTAGCTTAGTGCTCCAAGCAGTCCTAAACATTATCATTGCAGATAAACATTATCACTAGATTCCCCTAAAACTAACGCAGGATCAATAGATTTAGCACGGTTTTAGAAATCAAATAAAGAAAATAAAAATCGATAACATTCTATTTTTAAATATATTCTTATATGACCAATGTCTTATCTAATCATTACTATTTATGATCTCGTATTAGTTGTAAATGCTTGTTTACATCTCTGTATCTGCGCATTTTTTAAAACTTTTCCCTCGAAAGCCATTGAAAAGTGATTTCGGTAAAAAAAAGATTGTTAGAAGTTTTTTCTCTGAAAAAGTACATCCTTGTGCACTTTGTAAAATGAAAGGTTTAATGAATAAAAGGATTAATGAAGTGTATAACTCAATAGAATTACAATATATTCTACATAATGGAATTTACCCAGTTTTAGAGATGTGTATAGTTTTTGGGTTTATTTCAGTTTTTAAGAAAAAATTTCCTGAAAAATACTTGGAATTTTATTTGAAATGCCCCACTTTGAAAAGAAAATCCGCCAAAATTTGAAAATGATTTTAAATGGCTGACTTTTAGTTAATCAATTAAAAACTAAAATTATTTACAGGAAAGGATGTGTGATGTCGTAAAAATCCATTTTTTCAATCTTTTCTTCTATCTAATTGTGCAATTAATATATTTTGCAAATTGTGTATTATAACAAAAGATATTAACCAACAACGGATTCTATCTAATTTGTCCAATTTAAAATTTTGCATTAAATTATAAAAACAAACTAATGGGAGACAAGATAACGTAATTTTGAAAGACATCAAAGATTCTTGCGGAGCCTCAAAACGAACCAAAAAAACGACGCCCATCTCTTTTTTGTGACTTAAATATAACAGCATATATCTATATTATATATCTATTTATCGATCCGTTTGTCTTTCTATTTATCTAATTTTCTATCTATCTATCTATATAAAAACTGACTCTCCAGTGGGAGGCTGCGTGTTAACCCTATTAAGTAGCTTATTGCTCCAGATAAACATTATCTCTAGCTTAGTGCTCCAAGCAGTCCTAAACATTATCATTGCAGATAAACATTATCACTAGATTAGTGCTTCAAGCATTCCTAAACATTATCATTGAGATAAATATTATCATAGCTTAGTACTTCAAACAGTCCTAAACATTATCATTGGGATAAACATTATCATAGCTTAGTGCTACAAACAGTCCTAAACATTATCATTGCATATAAACATTATCATTAGATTAGTGCTCCAAACAGTCCTAAATATTATCATTGGTATACCCATTATCACTAATTCTAATATCATAATCATTGTAAAAAGGTCGAACAGAGAAAAATGCATCTAAACAAATTCTATGCATTAAATCTATGTACTGCAGTGGGAGGAGATTAAATCTATGTACTGCAGTGGGAGGAGATTAAATCTATGTACTGCAGTGGGAGGAGATTAAATCTATGTACTGCAGTGGGAGACGATTAAAACAATTATATTCGGGGAGGGGGGGGGGGGTTCGCTTTTATAAAATATAAGCTAATAATGCAAGTTTGTTTTACTGCTCAGTGCTTTTCCCGGCAAGTGGTAATTTTTGAACAGTTTATTTTTTGAAAAAATCTTTTTGAAAATGATAAGAACAGCTAACACTATAGAACGCTCAAGATTCTTCACTTTTTCAATTTCATACTGCGTAACCCAGAAACTGTGGTTGTATAACTGTATTTTAAACAAACACTTGTACAATGCATGACACTGGGCTGATGGGGGGAGGGTACAAACAAAAAGCATTAGTAAGTTTTCTATACAATTACCTTTTTCCCTTTTCTTTAAAACTGTTTTAGCGCTGTGACAGTGCATTTCTTTTGCATGAATATTTTTTTCAACTCAATTATTATTTTTCTTTGTGATTGTGTGATTTTTTTTCTTCATTTTGCAATGTTCTGAAAAATTTATAATTTTAATCTATTTTTTACCTGATCGTTTTAGAGAAAATTGGGAGAACAACAGCTAGAAACCTGAAGTAATAAATATATATTTATAAAACGGTTTTGTTTTATTTAATTGAAAATTTTATTTTTTTTCCGCATACTAAATAAGAATAAGTAATACATAAAAAACAATAAGAATATCATATTGTCCTAAATGCAATACGTATTCATATGCTTGCTTGTCTGTCTGGAAGGCTGAACCGATTGGGCCCAATTGTGTATGGCAACTTACATGATCACAGGGAATGTTTATGCACGGTCAAAGATTAACAATTTTGACAGGAGAAAATATCGACAATTTTGAATATTTTTGAAAATGCACCAGTTTAAATAGAAAAGTCCACGAACATTAGAGAATGATTCAAAATGTTCACATTTAGATTAACAGCTGACAACTAAAATTGCAAATGAAGAGTGATTTTAATAATAATTTATATGTTTCTTGGATTACACAGTTTTGAATTTAATTCAAAATTTACTAATTTATCATTTTTCAAAGTAAAACCATATTTCATTTAATATCTAAGTATCAAACTTTTTTCTTTCATCGACTATTGTCTCATGACAGATGAAAGATAAAATTAAGAAAATATTTGAAAATCCAAATATATTTGATACTCTAAATATACTTAAATTATATTTTTAAAATAAAATACAATAAATATTTTAACTAACGTAGGGAACCCAGTTTGCCTGGAAACTAAACTTTCGTTTTAAAAAATGAACACACTCATCTTTGAATTTGAACAAAGCCAAGAACATTTCCTTGGTTTAATTAATCTCCCAATCAGAATTTGAGGCAAATCGGTCATGGGGTTCATAATTTATGATCGGACATACAGACAAATAGAGATTACTTTTTTATTTATGTAGATAACAGGCTTAAATAATATTCTTTTTTTCTTTATTATATTATCTGAAAAATGCTTTGTTTCGTAAAATAGCAATTGAATGATGAAAACGCAGACTGTTTTGGTGTTTTACAATAAATAATCTTTTAATTTTAAACCCGTAGATAAAATAAGAGCTTGGATTAAAAAAACTTTCATATTTATATGTTTTTTATTCTATTTTATCTTTTTTCAAATTGTGAAAGCTTCTAAATATTCGATACAAAAACATTTCCCTGCTGTTATAAGAATATTAAAGAAAAACAATTCATAAATAAAGAGCTTTACAAGTTTCATGTTTTAAATGTAAAATGTACAGGCCAATCAAATGTATTTCACGTCATAAGTTTAGTAAGTTTTATCATGAAAAACATATATTTAATGAGTAGGATGATATTTAAATATGAAATATATATATAATGGGTAGGATTATATTTAAATATAAAATATTTCTATTTTTAAAAATGTTCAAATCCCAATACAATAAAAAAAACGAGAAAAAATTACTAATTTCAAAATGATAATTAAATTGATACCATCCCCAAGAGCCAAAACCCCCACCCCCCCCCCCCTTTTCAGAATAAATAATTCAGTGGGATCAATTGTTTCTGCATGCTAAATGTATAGAGATACCGGTCGGAATAATTAGCTAGCATTCAATTCAAGTTTATACAAAGTTGAGCCTTTGGTAGATTGTTTTACATAAAGGATAAGACTCTAAGGACGACATTAAACTCTTTCAATATCACGTAGCAGGGATAAGAAGTGAACTTTTCAAAACATCAAGTTTTTGTATTTTTATTTTGCTTAATTGTTGTTGTGTATTTTGGTTGAATATTTTATGTATACAAAACCTTGCGTTCGGCCAACCTTTAAAATCTAAAACTAGTTGAAATTTTGAAAATTTCCATTTTATTATATTTAGTTTTTGTATTGTTGATTTAATCAGTAGGACAACTGCAAACATAAAACTTTCACTTCAAACACGAACAAAAAAGTCAAACACTGTTTAATACTTCAAGCAGAACCATTTTATGCATGTTAAAAATAACACAACTCGGCATTTTGTTACGTTATCTTTAGTCTTTACCCAAGCTAAACCCCTGGGCCCATGCTACTGCAATTCACGTTTAAGATGAATAAGTTTTTCGGGTGATTCCTGCTCTACTAACAATTTTAGCTTTAAATTTTGCTTTTCAAGCCGCTACTTTTTCATTATGTTCCAAATCACAATAAACTCAAATTTTTGCGGATTTTTTTGTTGGAGTTTATGGATTTTAAAGATGTTTGAAGAATTTTTCCATTTTGAGAATCCATATATATATACCTTTTCTGAAATTCTCGGGTCATAATAGTTGGCAGAAAAAAATTGGCCCCAATCGTTTAAATATTGTCCGGAGCGAACTAGAGGGGGGCCCGGGCACACGGCCCCCCCTGAGCTCCTGGAGGGGGGGGCCCTTCAAAATTTTTACTAGTAAGTTAAAGTTTAAAAGGGTCTATTTGCAGTGTACAATTGCTATGTCTAATTTCATTGAACTAGTTTAAGTTCTAACTTAAGTTTCAAAGTCGTCTTCCTATTTCAAAGTTTTCTGCTTATCACTGTAAAAATTCATTATACACGTAAAAAAGGGAATTTATTAAAATATTCGTAAGCGCTCAAAAATGAATAGATAATCACCAACATTAATACCTCTTTGATTAGATTTATTTAAAAATGTTAAAAGTACTAACATTTTCCATATTGTTTATTATGAAAAATTCGTTTTAATTGGTAAACAGTTTAAATTTCTATTCAAACTATGAATTGGACAGCGACTTAAATGTTTATTTCTTAATCACCGATAAGATAATTATGCATAATCGATCTCAAAAAATGTTTCATTTTTGATTTGCTAATCTCTAATTGTGATAATAAATAAAAAATTGGAAATTTACTGCTTTTTGTTTAATTTTTTTGGGGAGTGGCCAGGGGGGCCAAAAAAGATTTTAAGCGCTCTGAGATATTGGTTTAGTCCGCCCCTGATCGACGTTTATTGAAAACAAACATAAATATATTATTGTGTTTTCGTAGCAAAAATAAATAATAAGTGAATAATAGACAATTCCAATTTAAACAGAAACCCATATTTTTATTTCTGTCAAGCAAAATGGAAATTAAAATTTGGGAAATTGATAAATTGGGAAACTGAGAGGGGGTCAATATTTCTTTGAATATAAAGGATACATATAAAGGATAATACTTCAGAGACGACTTTAAAGATGTCGTCAAATGGTTTTCTGCCTCTGAATACTCAATTATCATCCAGACCAATTTAAATTTTCTAATCATCTTAACTAACTACCTAACTTACTAACTACTAACTAACTAACTAACTAACTAACTAACTAGCTAACTAACTAACTAACTAACTAACTAACTAACTAACTAAATAATTAACTAACTAACCAACTAAATATCTAACTAACTAACTAAATAACCAACTAACTAACTAACTAACTAACTAACTGAATTAACTAACCTGTCAAAAGCCATGAAGACCAAGGTATAAATAGACACAAATGCTGTGACAATGATCAAGTATTGTACAATCCTAAAATAAGAAAGTTCTCAGTGGTGTTCAGAGTCTTTTATGTTTTTTATCATATATTTGTAATCATTTTTTGTAGTATATTTTATTACTATTTTTAGAATAATTTCGAATAAGGAATTGAGTCTTTGCCACAAACTCGAATTTTCTGATCCCTTTATCTTTGCAACCTAATGGTGTAAACTTTTGATATTTTAAACTTAGAGAATAAGATCTAACAAAAATTCATAGTTTGACATATCTAATATTTATACTACAGATATAGGGATTAAAAAATCAGTGTTTGTGACAAAAACTCAATTCCTTTGTTCATATTTTGTGCATGCTCCATAAAAATTTATAGGAAAAGGTTACTTTAATAAAAGATAGTTTTAAGCAGTATTTTTGCAGTTAATGTTTAGCATATTATTATAGTTTTTAAGACATACAGTGCATGGCATTTTTCTGGAGAATTATATTTATAAATGTTATATATGTCAAAACACGCTTCCAGGCACTGCACCATATTATCGAAGTGAGCGGCCAGTGCATTAAAGAGGGTCCCCCGCCCACTAATCTCATTTAGACCAAAATATTCCAAATGGAATTGGTTTCAGAAAGTCAGAAAAAGAAAGGTTTTACTGAAACAGTAAAAAACTTTTTCGGGATTTCCCCCCCCCCACCCCCTCCCTCTCTTGCGTTTATAGCAATAACAACATATTGAAAATTATTCACATACAAAAGAAGAGTTTGAAAAGTAAATGTTTTGTTGGAATAAACTGGTGGAAAAGTTAAAATAAACAAGTAAATATGAAACAATAATAAAACTAGAGACTGGAACTTTTGTTGCAATAAATAAAGCTAAGTTTCAACGGATCAAATTTGCCTCGTGATCTTCTTAATCTGTTTCATCTCGTTAGTCGGCTTTGCTTGGATTAGGATTTTTCAGTGCTCGAGTTCTACTGATCAAAATTCAGGTTTAAAAAAGCCCCAAACTTTCAACTTATGTATTCAAAAGTTTTGGATTTCGAGCCTTATCTCATTTAAAAGTTCCAATCACATGATAAAACTAAATAGTTTCGAATTTTATATTCCCTGTTTAGCATCCAGAACCACCTCTTGCATATATAAACAAAACAAAAAATGTAAATCTTAGACTTTGAATATTTTAAATTCTTTGAATTTTAAAGTTTTCACATTTTTCTTGATAAAAATGGTGGCTGTCAAAGTCATGTATGCAATATGCATGAATAGATATTTATGTTTTACAGCTACTTTGTCCAAAAATAAAATCGAGAGGGAGGAGAGGGGGAGGGGGTAATTGTTAGTTTAGTTTATTTACAAGCATATTGTATTTTAAAGTTCAGGCTTCGATTCTAACTTTAAACTGTTGCTTTTTTATCGATTTTTTCGTGAATTTTTAAAAAATCTAATTCATCCAAGCAAATTTTTTCATTTCTAATCATCCGAAAACCTTCCAGGGGTTCATTGAAGTTGCCATAAAAATGTAGGGCTCGATATGTTCAACAGTTTTAATAAGTTCAGTTAACATACAAAAATGATAGTTGATTGTAAGGTTGTTTTACATGCAGCCTTTGGTTGAAATATAAGTTGATTGTTCAGTTGATTTACGAGTAGTTGATTGATTGGTAGATTGATAATGTATTTTTGATTGAGATGCATCGGAAATTTTTAATTTGCAAAATTATTTATATATTTCCTTTATAGTGGAAAACTAAGAGAAGGACACTCGTAAAATGCTTTTAGAGAAAGATTTTTTTAGATTTTTCTTCAATTTTAACTTAGTTTATTCAAAAAATAGAATCTTCCATAAAGGAATTGAGTCTTTGCCACAAACTCAAATTTTCAAATGCCAATATCTTAGCAACCTGATTACGTAAACCTTTGATATTTCAAACTTAGAATGTTTTGTCTAAAAACATTCATAGTTTGAAATATCTAAGGTTTAAGACTTTGGGTTGCAAAGATATAGGGACTAGAAAATCAGAGATTGTGACTAAGACTCAATTCCTTTATTTAAAAAAATAATTCTGATGTAAAATATAGAATTTTGATAACTGACTTAAATTGAGACAAGTTCAAAATTAGCTGCATTTAATACAAAAAAAATAATAATTTAGTTCCAAAATTCGCCAAATTAACGTAATAACGAGACCCATAAGCAATGACGTAACCGTTATTTTTAGATAAATAACTTAACGTTCTTTCGTTCTTTAAAGAAATTAAGTCTTTTGATACAATGTCATCAAAAGTTTTTAACTTAATTTTCCCTAATTAACGGTTATTTTCACTCGTTAATAGAATTTTTTTGTTAATTTTTATAAACAGATTTGTATCCATTCCTATAATAAACCAGGAATATGATTAGTTTTACATTTACTAAACATTACTTCTAATTGATTAGAAATTAGACCTGTCAATCAAAACTATAATTATATTTCTATGTATTCTGGTATTTGTGGTCAATCATGCAGGAATCATAGATTAATATCATAGTGGTTCAGACAACTATGAAAGTTAAACATCAAGAGACCGGATCGACTCTAGTTCTAGCTTCTGATCACCGGATCGACTCTAGTTCTAGCTTCTGATCGTCGGATCGACTCTACTTCTAGCTTCTGATCGTCGGATCGACTCTAGTTCTAGCTTCTGATAACCGGATCGACTCTAGTTCTAGCTTCTGATCGCCGGATCGACTCTACCTCTAGCTTCTGATCGCCGGATCGACTCTAGTTCTAGCTTCTGATAACCGGATCGACTCTAGTTCTAGCTTCTGATCGCCGGATCGACTCTACCTCTAGCTTCTGATCGCCGGATCGACTCTAGTTCTAGCTTCTGATCGCCGGATCGACTCTAGTTCTAGCTTCTGATCGCCGGATCGACTCTAGTTCTAGCTTCTGATCGCCGGATCGACTCTAGTCCTAGCTTCTGATCGTCGGATCGACTCTATTTCTAGCTTCTGATCGCCTGCTTGATTTTCACATACGACACTCTTCACGGAATATCCAATATAAAATTAAATTAATCTGTAGATTAACAAAAAATCGAGATCAAGAATTGATAATTAGAAAATGTTTCAAACGCCTGGATCATTCCGTGTTCGGAAAAATAAACTAATTTTTATATTTTATATAAACGTACCATTAATTACATTTTTGCAAAAAATTAATAATTACATTTCTTCTTTGAACTTTCTCAATTGAGTTTTAGTATGTCTGTAAGTATGTACTTAAGGGTGTTACACATAATATTTAATTAAAGAAAAAGATCGTAATCCATGGGATAAACACCTTAGTCCATTAAATATGATATCTTTATGTAATAAATATAATTTGGGACACTCTGTGCTTCATTAAATTTTAAAATATTGCAAATGCAAATGAAAATGCCGATATTATTATATCATATCACATCAAAATTTCTATAATCTTTCTTTTTAATGCATCATCACGTGAGAGTAAGATTGAAATCTTATATTTTTCGATCATAACTCCAAATATTGAAGAACTATATATTGAGAAGAAAAAAAATGTTTTAAATTTCTGATATTCAACCAAATAATATGTACTTTAGTACGTAGACCTAAAACTAGAAGAGGTACAATGTCACAAAGTTGAACAAGAAATATCGCATTAATTAAACCTTCAACTTCTTTCTTGTTTGCAGTGACACAGAATTACATGTTTAGAATTGAAAAATAATATTTATGCATAAAAATTCCTAAAATATGGAAGAGGATAAGATCTGAGGAAAAATGTTAAAAGGAAGAAAAATCTGTATAATAAGAGTAGAGAATGAGAATATAATCCATGGAATAATGAGCCTTAATCCTAAAAAATCAGGGTTGGCCTGATTCTTAAGGGAAGAGGCTTCCCCCTCCCTCAACTCCTGGAAAAAACAATTTTTCAAAAATCCTTGAAATTGACTCCAAAGGTTGAAGAAAACTAGCAAGTAGTAGAGATGAAAATGTAAAAATCATTGTCTTATAACATTTGCACTATTTACTTTTCAAAGGCATCTTCACAAGGAATTTTTTAGAATCGTAGCTCATTCACATTAGAAGTTTTCGGAACTATGAACTGAACACAAAACTTCTAATCACTATACTACATATATGAGAGATAGGATTGATAATATTAACCAATAAGAGATAGGATTGATAATATCAACCAATTAGAGATAGGGTTGATAATATTAACCAATAAGAGATAGGATTGATAATATTAATCAATGAGAGGTAGGATTGATAATTTCAACCAATAAGAGATAGGATTGATAATATTAACCAATAAGAGATATGATTGATAATAGTAACCATTAAGAGATAGGATTGATAATATTAACCAATGAGAGATAGGATTGATAATTTCAACCAAGGAGAGATATGATTGATAATCACGCACCTCTGACCCTTAAGTAAAAGTAAATTCAACCTAAAGTCTAACCGTGTCAACCTTGTTGCACCGGCTAGTCCTATTGAGTGTCTGCTTTATTTACCCAATGCCCGGGCATTACAGTACAAACTGGGACCGGAAAGGTTGACCCGGTTCGGAAATTCAAATGTACTACGGCTGCCCATGTAATATAAACCAATATGAGATTGGATTCATAATATCAACAAATAAGAGATAAGATTGATAATATCCACCAATGAGATATGGAATTGATAATTTCAACCAATGAGAGATAGGGTTGATAATATCAACCAATATAAGATGGGATGTACAATATCAACAAATAAGATATAAGAATGATAATATCATCAATGAGGTATGGAATTGAAAATTTCAAATAATAAGAGATAGGATTAATAAGTTCAGCCAATGAGAGAAAGGATTGATAATATCAACCTATGAGAGATATGATTAATAATATCAACCAATGGGAGACAAGATTGAAAATACCAACCAATGTGAGATAAGATTTAAAATATCAACCAATAAGAGACGAGTATACCTGCACCATGCATCCCCAAAGGGCCAGACTGAGGCAAAGTAGTAATCAGCTGCTGTAAACGGAACACAGAACACAATAAACAAGATGTCTGCCACCTACAAAATAAATAGAATAAAATGCATAACATTAATTTTTTACTCATCACATCACATTTCTGATATTGCAAGTATACAATATAGAGCCATGGTGGGCAGCCATTATGTCGTATGGTGGTCAGCCATTATGTCGTATGGTGGGCAGCCATTATGTCGTATGGTGGGCAGCCATTATGTCGTCTGGCTTTTTTGATACAATTTTAAAGTTTGATATTAAAAAGATACTTTTGGAAAGATTTGTCAGATATACCAGCCATACATTCACTAGCTGTCAGATATACCAGCCATACATTCACTAGCTGTCAGATATACCAGCCATACATTCACTAGCTGTCAGATATACCAGCCATACATTCACTAGCTGTGGCTACCTAATGTTAAAGTCTGTTTCTATGAAACGTTCCATAATCTGAAAGCTTTAAATCTAGAACCATTCCCGGATTGTCTATTTTTGTACAATACAGGTTTTTTTGTTCGAATACATGGGAGTTGAATGTATGCTTAACTAGACTTATTATGTGCCTCTCGCGCCCCCTTTCCTACAAGCAATTTAGCTTAAATTTGCCATTTTAGATCGTTTCTGCGTTTTATTGGAAATGAATTTTTGCCACAAACTCTGATTATCTAGTAACGTATCTTTTAAACCAAATGTAGCAGACCTTAAATATTTCAGACAATGAATCGTGTTAGATAGAATAATTTGAAACATTTGAATTTGCGGCAAAGGCTCAATTCCATTGTTATATGAAAATTCGCATTTTTCAGTTCTGGCCTAATTTTTACGGAAAAGTTGTTTTTTAATGGCTCCTCAGTTTTCAAAAGAACAACGTATATATATATTTATAACTATAAAATATACCAAGAAGAAAATAAACTAGACAACTGAAAATTTCGAATTTTCTTATTACAATTCTGCAAACTTGCTGTGATTCTGTGATTCAATCTTTTTAAAATTCTAGAATTTGATAGAAATACACACATTCTTGCTTTTCTGAAATTAGGATTTTGAGAGAAATTTTTTTTGACCATTGAGTACAAAAAATTGATTGAAAAAATACTATACAGGAGAGTCGCACATAAAAAGGTACAATTTTGAAACAGACGCCGCTAATCACACCTTTTTTTACTCACCCTGTTTATATCTTTAATTGTAACATGAATACATTTATAACATATATGTGAGGTATAAACAGAATGAAAGAAAATAGGCTGAAGTCGGAAAGTGATTAATTGAATTACCTTAGTCTTATTTCTTTTACACTGCATCATTGGATTAGATACCTGATACATGATACATGATACAGGATACAAGTATATATGATACAGGACACAGAACACATGATACATAATACATTATACATGATACATGATACATGACACATGATAGATGACACATGATACATGATACATGATACATGATACATGATATATGATACATCATGATACAGAACACATGATACATGATACATGATACATGATACATTATACATGATACATGATACATTATACTTGACACATGATACATGACACATGATACATGATACATAATACATGATACATGAAACATGATCCTCAAAGTACTTTATCTGGATACAGAATACAGGGAAAATAGTTTGTTTAACACCCCTTCTGTCCTGTTGCACGATATATAATTTATCTTTTAACATTATTGCGTGACCGGGGTTCATATTCATAAATCCAATATCCAGTCACAGATGAAAAGTTAATCACATGATTAAATGTTTCAGCCAAAACTATTTTTTAGAACATTTTTTAACGCAAAGGGACCTGAGCACTTGCATCCAACTCTAATTTGCTATTCCTCAAATCTTTCCAACCTGATGACGTAAACCATTAATATTTCAAACTATTAAAGAAATTGAGCATTTGCCACAAACTGTGATTTTCTAACTCATATCTTTGCCACCCAAAGTCGTGGACTTTTGTTATTTAAAACTATGAAATTTGTTAAGTCCAATTATTTAAGTTTAAAATATCAAACGCTTAAACCTTAAGGTTGCTAATATATAGGGATTCAAAAATTTGAGTTTGTGGCAAAAATTCCATTCTTTGTGTGTTATGTTAGAAACTTAGAATAACATTGCAAGCTCAATGGATAACACCATTCAGTTGCGGAGATATAGGAAAAAATTGTAAAATTATATTTTCCTTCTAGATGATATTAAAAAAGTGAACTTTAATGCTGCTACATGCAGCTTTACTTTTAAAATTCTTAAGATATTTCTCTGCAATAAAAAAGTTGTTTTCCTCAGTAACTGAAAAATATTCAAAGAATTTTAATAAAATATGATTTTGCACAACTTTAGGTCCCAGGAGAGGGGAAATTTGCAAAATAGTTTTAAACCTCGATCGAAATAAAATACAACATGAGATTTTTTTTTGTTTCCAACCAGTCAGGAATTTCAATAAAAGTTCATTCATTTGTAAATATCAAGATGTGTATGCTGAACCGGAAATTGAAAAATAACCCGAGTTTCCTCTTTGGAGTCTGTACATTTGCGTAGATAGTAGAATTTAACTTAAAAAATCAGAAAAAACAAGAAAATGTAAAGCATCCTCATTGAATAATATTAAGCTTCTTTTTAAAAGCTTCACTTTGTTTACTTGTAAGCTTGTGATTTACAAAAATCTGGTTAGAAATCAAAAAGTTTAAATAAGATTAGTCTTCGCTGTATTGATATAAACGCCGACCTGTTGTAAATCACATTAAATGTGTAATAACTCTATACTTAGTATAATCAAACGTACATTGATGAATATGGAAGGCAGTTGGGACCTTTATTGTGCAGTTGGAACCTTTATTGTGCAGTTGGAACCTTTATTGTGCAGTTGGAACCTTTATTGTGCAGTTGGAACCTTTATTGTACAGTTGGGACCTTTATTGTGGAGTTGGGACCTTTATTGTGCAGTTGGAACCTTTATTGTGCAGTTGGGACCTTTATTGTGCAGTTGGGACCTTTATTGTGCAGTTGGGACCTTTATTGTGCAGTTGGAACCTTTATTGTGCAGTTGGAACCTTTATTGTTGCAAATCATCTTTCTTGTCATAACCTAAGGGCGTCAAAGATTTTCAGAAAATAAAATCTTTTTAAATCCTCTACATTAAATCTTTTTAAATCCTCTACATTAAATCTTTTTAAATTCTCTACATTACAAAAGCATTTCATTTAAAACTGTGGAACTGTAAAACTTAGGCCTTTTCATACTAAGTTGTAATTCTTTTTGAAACCGGGTCATTAGGAAAAAATTGAAGAAAAAAATTAGTTCAGGTATTTCTGAAAATCAAAAGAAATTGAAAATCATGAAGAAATCATATGGAAAACTTTTTTTAAACACCCAACAGGGCCAAGCCAAAAAGAAAAGCATTAATTACAAAGTTTTCCGTGATTGTATTAGCACCAATTAGCAACTAGTGAAAACTAAGAAAAAAAAGAAATTAAAGAAAAAGAAAATGAAATGTTTGTTTTTACAATTGGACTTTTTACGATACACATTTGACAGAGAACACAGGATCTACAGCAGACATTTTAACAAATAATTTTCATCCTAAATTCAATGGGGGAATTTTGCGGATTTTGTCTAATCTAATTCTTTTGAATTTCCAAGTTTAATTTATTTACAAACACTTTAAAACTTTTCCATTTCTATTATATTCTCTGTGAAAGAATTGTTCCAATATTCGAAGAAACAAATATTTTTTTTTTAAAAAGGGTGGGCTCAAGGCCCAGGAGAGAGGGGTGTATTCAGGGCCCAGAAGTGGGAGGCTAAGAGCCCCGAAGAGATGGGTGTGCTCAGGGCCCAGGGGAAGAGTTGGGCTCAGGGCCAAGGAGAGATGGGTGTGCTCAGGGCCCAGGGGAAGAGGTGGGCTCAGGGCCAAGGAGAGATGGGTGTGCTCAGGGCCTAGGAGAGATGGGTGAACTCAGGGCCCAGGAGAGATGGGTGTGCTCAGGGCCCAGGAGAGATGGGTGTGCTCAGGGCCCAGGAGAGATGGGTGTGCTCAGGGCCCAGGAAAGATGGGTGTGCTCAGGGCCCAGGAGAGTTGGTGTGCTCAGGGCCAAGGGGGCGGGGTGGGCTAAGGGCCCCGGAGAGATGGTTAAGCTCAGGGCCCAAGGGGAGAGTTGGGCTCAGGGCGCAGGAGATATGGGTGTGCTCAGGACCCAGAGGCAGGGGGGGCAGGCTTAGGACCCAGGAGATATGGGTGTGCTGAGGGCCTAGGGCCAGGGGGAAGGGTAGGGCTTAGGGCCCAGAAGAGAGTGGTGGACTTAGGGCCAAGGGGGAAGGAAGAAGGGATAGGAAAAAAATGTGAGTCTTTTGTTGGTGCAAAGAAAGAATAAACCATGAGGCTGAGATGAATTCTTTTCAAAATACAAAAACAATCTCAAAATAAATTATCAAGATAAAAGAAAATTTCCATTTTTTATTAAATCATATTTTCTCAGAGAAAAAAACACAATGCACTTAAAAGGATTCGGCTTTTATAAATTTAAACAAAAATAGTTGGATTATGGTTTCAGAACATAGTTTCAGAAAATTGTGATGATTTTTTGCATTTTTTGGTTACATTTATTAAAATATTAGTTTGGAGTTTCTAAATTCAGAATTAGTCACAATTATTTCGTGCAAAGAACAATTGCATGAAATAGCTGCCAAACTATGATAATAAAATGTCTCACTTGAATAAGTTTTTAAACTGAAATATTATTCAACAGCATTTCATTTCCATTATTTAATTTAGCTCAGAGGTAGTAAAAGTTTTACACCAGGTTGCGAAATAATGGAAAAAAATCCACACTTCGTACGTTGTGGAAAGAAAATATGGCAAAAGATATAAAGATAGATATATTGATTGATTGATTGATTGATTGATTTATTGATAGATAGAAAGATAGATAGATAGATAGATAGATAGATAGATAGATAGATAGATAGATAGATAGATAGATAGATAGATAGATAGATAAATAGATAGATAGATAGATAGATAGATAGATAGATAGATAGATAGATAGATAGATAGATAGATAGATAAATAGATACTAACCGCCAGGTTGAAGATAAGGAGATTGGTTGTGTTTCTCATGTTCTTGTTGATGATGACCACCAGCACTACCAGTAGGTTACCCACAAACCCTGGACCCAGGTTACAACCATTTTTACTCTTTTTTGTTCAAACAGACTTTGTACCCTTCTTTTTTTTAAGTGAATGGCCTCTCCGCTTCACAACCCAGAATCATTTGAATTTTTGGCTGATCATCGCATGAGATATATATAGTAGAGCAGGAGATATACTAGTTATTTACAATATTTTTTCACAGTAAATATATAGTAGAGCTGGACAGCAGGAGATATATTTGTTATTTACAATATTGTTTCTCTTTTAATATATAGTGGAACTAGACAGCAGGAGATATATTTGTTATTTATAATATTGTTTCTCTGTAAATATATAGTAGAGCTGGACAGCAGGAGATATACTAGTTATTTACAATATTGTTTCTCAGTAAATATATAGTAGAGCTGGACAGCAGGAGATATATTTGTTATTTACAATATTGTTTCTCTGTAAATATATAGTAGAGCTAGACAGCAGGAGATATATTTGTTATTTACAATATTATGTCTCTGTAAATATATAGTAGAGCTAGACAACAACACATTTGATAACATAAAAGCGGTAAAATAGTTCTTATCATTTCTCCCATAAAACGTGGATTAACTCACTCGTGTATGCCGAGTTCTTTAGCGCCTGATCCAATCAGGGTTCATCCATGTGTTTGTTGTCTTTTCTGAACCAATAGAAATAGAAGGGTAAAAGCTAACTTTCTATCTATCTCATTATCCAATTAGAGATATGAATCCTACAATCGGCGTTATTAGTAAATGGAAATATTTACTTATACAGAAACTATAGTGAACAATTATAGGTTACCTTTGTAAATCGTATGTGCCCCTCAAAAAATGGGGCCGGTTTGGAAGTGAAAAAATATAAATAACGAACTAAGATTAAATCGTTATGCTAAGTTAACACCTACTATGATATATGTATTATACACTTGATATATCAGACAAATACTAATATCTATCGAAAATATGCAAATGCATAGACATATTATTTTCTTCAATATATTTGGTTTGTCTGTAGGTTTGTTTTATCTATATGATAAAGCTATATATATAAATATATGTATGTATATACATATGAAGAATGCCTAGCATGAAACAAAATGTCGATACAATAAAACTGCGCAATTAATTGGTGTAGCTATGGTTTTCGCGGATTTTTTTTTGAGAAATTTTTTTTCAAAAATTTCACATCGTTTTAACATTTTTTCGATTAATTCATTTTCGCGAAATTTGGCGAAAAAATGCGAAATGAGAACCCACATTTTTACAATTTTTCGTGAAAGTTTTTGTTCGCTGGACAGTCTAATTATAAACGATCATAATTTTTTAAATTACATGACAAAATTTCAAAATCTTTTTAGTCCGCCGATGAAAAAAGGACATTTTTTGTTTCAATCCTGGTGGCATGGAAATAAACATTTAAAACCAAAAATTGAAAAGCGCCCTATAAGTCTAGTTCAATATATAAGAATAGCTTGCATAAAAACAATTTTTTAAATATATAAACATAAAAAACCAGCATTGAAATTCATATTCTGAGCATTTTTTCTTTTTTTCTTAAAAAAATTATTTTTGCCTTTTTTACACTTTTAACTGCACCTTTGAGAAAAAATTTATGATTCAAATAAAATAAAATTTTCTAAAAATCTATTCAAATACAATCGGAAAAGTTAAATGTTTAAATTAAAGTAAAGTGTGTACTCTCTAAATTTTAAAGAAAGAAAGAAAGAAGAAAAAGTTTCCAGATATTTCTGTGTACTGCAGTTTTTCGCTTTTTTCTGTAATGTAAGAAAATACTCAAGTATTAGGGCTCGTTTTCGATGACGAACATAAGTTTTGGGAGCAAGCGAATTTGTGAACGAAATTGACGTTCAGGAAAATAACGAACAGATTGATCGTTCAAGGAATCGAAAAAATGGTTTGCAATTTTAAAATCGTGTGCTTCATAATTCTTTTAGAAATATCAAAATTTGAATGAACGGTTTTTTTGTTATTAATGTAAAAAGACAGCTAATGCCGATAATTATCATTTATCGGATTTTTTACACTTAAAAATACAATATTGATATTCGTTTCAGAGAACTATATCAGACATAATGTTTGTCCAACTCTGTAATTATCTTTTTTTTTGTAATAAAAAAGGCCCATATATACAGGGTTACCCACAAAGGTTAGCACTTAAATGAATTTTAATTAGAAATTGATACTAAACGTTTGTTAAAGCAAGAAACATGTGCATTGTGCACGGTTGCGGTGCGTCTCCGGTAGCGTCCAATCAGGTCTCAGACACGCGCATGGTGTCTATTTAGAACTAATAGAAACTGCAAACAAACACATTTCCTATTTTAATATCTTTCTATTTAAAAGAACTGAGTTTATGTCACACAATCAAGATGTTTTGTCTTGATATCTTTGCAACCTGATGGTGTAAATCTTTGACATTTCAAACTTAAACCATTAGATCCTACGGAGTTCATAGTTTAAAATATCAAATGTCTCCGTTATCTATATTGAAACCAGGTTGAGCTCTGAAGACTCAACCTTGGTGGTGATGTATATATCCAGTCATATTGCTTTTTGTACGCTAATAGGGTTTCTATGTTTTATGATAAGTTGATTAGGAACTTTGATCTAATAGATAAAGCAGAAATAGACATGAACATGAAAATCTAATTTCAGAGTATGGACTTATTAAATAAGATATTTCTAATATTGGTGATCCGGCCGTACAAAGGGTGGGGGGGCTGTTCCATAAAATCATTTTTTTTTATTATTATATTAAATGTATTTTATCATATAAGAAGTTTGATGTCAAGTCATGCATGAAGTTAAAAAGTTAAATTTTCTTAAATGAAAGATAATTTATCAGTCTTCGGATGACAGTTGAGTAGACGGCGATTAATCTTAAAAATTATATTTTACAAAACATTTTTTTTGGAGGCAAATAAAATTGGTTTTTATGTCCATTAAAAACACATCAGAATATAGTTTTTTTAACTCAGTTCTCATCATGAAATAAAGGTGTAAACATTTAAATAAGAATATTGTGACAAAACCTGCATCCTCCTCTAGTCCGCCCTGGCTTCCCTTGACTCTTAAATTCCCCACTGTTTAACGTCCATTAGACCTTTAATCTTTCAAGACCAAATAGTCAAAGTTTGAAATCCTAGGCTTTTAGGGCGCTTCGCACCCATCCTCTATTTAAACTTTTATTTGTGGCTCTATCTGTGAGCATCTTCTCTTTGTACAGTATTAAACAATAACAAATAAAGTTTACAGATTTTATAAATTTCACAAAAAAAAGCTTTTGGATAAAACCTTTTGTAATTCTGAGCATCCATACACCTTCCCTGGGGTCTTGCGAGGTCCGACGGTTCAGTCGTTTTGACGTTTATTGGATACAAACAGACAAACAAACAGACAAAGCAGACACGCAATGTATATAGCATATACATAGATTTAAAATACACATATTGCAAATATATAGAGATGAGAGAGAGTTAGAGGCATATTAAACAGTTTTTTAACAAATCAAATAATTTTAAACAAATCTATTTCTAGGTATAATTGGCAAAACCCCAGCTGCCAAAGTTCGAAGAGAATCGAACAAAAGAAAGATCTCAGAGAAAACTAAAATTCTGTGAAAATATATTTTTGATTTTAATTAGGTTTCAAAATTGAAAATTTTTAAAAGAAATGGAAGAAATTTTGGAAAAATATAATTTAATAAAATTATGCATTTTCATTTTATTTTTTGTACGTCGTATACAACGATTGCAAAAATTATTCTGGAAACTTATTTTTATGAGTTTTGCAACGTAAGGGACTTTATTTAAAAAGGTAGAGACGTCTTGAGACAAAGTAAACAGTAATTTTCGGTTTTATGTTGTGATGAAAATGTAGTAAATTGTCAAAGAAAAATGTTAAAAGATGACGGTATCGTTCTTGTTGTAAACCAATGACATAAAATCAAATATTTTATCGTAATTTAGATTAAAGTTTGATCAACAGATTCGATCATTGCATTTTGCACTGATAATATTTTATTTGCACTGCTGATATCTTTGTTGTAGAACTTTTTTGATTCCATCAGATTTTATTGACATTTTGGGTTTGGAATAGACTATAAAAATAACAATGGAATATGAGCAGTAACAAGTTACTTTTGAAAATTAACAAATTCAATTTTCTAATCTCGTATACATCTTTGATAATCTGATCTAAGAAAATGCAGTGTGCAAAATCCCTAAGATTAACCACATCAATTTTCAAAGGTATATGGATTAAAAATTTTAATTTGTTAAAATTATGAAGAAAAGAACGTTTATTTTAATGAATAAAGATGGTTGCCTATGAATATAACAAGTACGAAGAGCGGTATCACCACGTAGGGAACAAACTTGGCCAGAATTCCATAAATCCTAAACAAATTCTAATCAATTTCACAGTTCTACCGGGTTTTCGGAAAAATCTCTGAACCCGCGCGCGGTAAAAGTCGTCTTCAAGAGAAACAAGTTGGAATGCACTGCATAATTTTCAAATTTGACAAGGAACACACAGCTAATTTACAATTTTTTAGCAATTGAAAACAAACTCAGAGTATTTGAAAATGATTCTTTTTTCTGGAGGAAATTCAGGCAAGTTGTTTAAAAAGCAAAAACCTATAAAAATACCAAAACAAATTAAGTGGGCAACTTCTAACAATTAAATAGCTTAAGAAAAGATAAAATCATAAAAGAAGAAAATATTAAAAAAATTTTAGAAAGTATTTTTTAATGGAATCCTATACATTACATAAAAGCGTTAATGAGGAATATTTGTTTTAAAAAAAATAAGTAAAAAATCAAAATTGAGTAAACAAAAGATTCAGAACAAAAAATTGTAAAACTTAACTTTTTTAATCATACCAAAAACATGATAATTTTTTGTTGTTTTAATTTTAAGAATTATCAAACACAAATTGTACAACTAGAAATGGCCTACCTTTCTTTATCAGGATCCGGTCCCATGAAGTTGATTGTTTGGTTGCCACCCTCCATCACAAATTCATTGGATCTGTCCATTAAATTTCGGTCCGAATCGTCCATGAAGGGTTGGTCCGAACCGTCCATGAAGGGTTGGTCCAAACCGTCCATGAAGTTTTCGTCCTCCATGCTGTATGGAAGATTGTCTGAAATTTCAAATTTTTAATAATGAAAATTGTTCCTGACATCAGAGTAATCAAAAGTGTTGAAAACTCTTTCATAAAATAACTTGAAATCTACAAATACATACCAAAATATTTATAGTCAATACCATAAATATATGTTTTTTGGATCGCGCATTAATGGTTTGGTTTAATCTGTTTAGCACTTTATAGTGAGCTTGTAGTTCCTAAATTACTATTAAGAATTGTATATTTGTATAATAAACTGTATCTACAAATCTTAATGTTTGCTGTATTATAAGCAAGCTTTGCACTATTTGGGTAATATCTTTATGTTATAATAAAGTGTTAATATTATCAACAATTTCTATCAAAATGATGTACTCTATATATATATATTATATATACTTTATTCGCTAAAAGTTTCAAATAAAAATTGATTGAATAATATAAATATATATATATACATATATATGTATATAAATTCTAACTAAAGGGATTGTTCCCAATTAAGTTACCCTTTTTTCCAAAATTTAAACAATTAGCAAAAATGATAAAATTAAAAGAAATCAAGGGGACAAAATATAAACCACCATAAATAGATCTAACTTAAGTAAAAAGAATTGTAGAGTACTGCACGTTCATAGGTTCTTTTTAAGACCAATACATTTTCAGGAATATTATTTTGAGTCACCTACCGACCATTCTTTACAAAAAAAAAACTTTAAAAGACATTTAGGATGTTAGTTTTCTAAGAGATATGAGCAATATTGATCAAAAAACTAGAATAAAATAAAGAAAGGTCACAGCTTTACAACCGCCGTTTTCTCGCACGTGGTCGTGGAGGAAAATAAATTTTTGAAATAAAAGTCCCTGCAGCTATATACTAAACTTGTTTCAATTTTTGCCAAATCATTTAATCAGCTATTTAAAGACTATATTTAAAGGGAGTGTTCGCAAAAAATTACAGGGGGTATAGGTTTACGGCGAAAAATAATCACTTTTGATCGCTATTAACCGTACTTCTATCTGTTACATCTATAAGAAGAAAACAACTTATACTAAAGAACGTAGCGTCCATACGAATTCAGAAAGTTGCAAATACGACTTGGATCGTAAATAAATCAATTTAATTTTAAACAAATCATTTGAATATTACAAAACAATAGTCATTGATTATTTTTCAACGCATTCGTATATATATAGCTAATATTTAGTATTCTTTTCGTATATAATGCAACTTAAAATGCCGAAATAGTTGGCCGCCTGATGTCTCTGCTCTCGATGCTTTGAATGATTACAAGTGGCAGAAACACCTAGCGGAAAAAGTCGTTTTAAGTGGACTGTATATAAAACAAATAACAAATAGTATGAAATATTAACTATACTTACTTACTATATACGAATGCGTAGAAAAATAATCGATGACTTTAGGTTGTAATATCTGACTGATTTGTTTGAAATTAAATTGATTATTTTACGATACGAGTCGTATATTGCAACTTTCTGAATTTGTATGGACGCTTTAACAATTTTCTCCTTATAGAAGCAACAGATAAAAGTAAAATTAGTAGCGTTTAAAAGCGATTATTTTTCGCCGTAAGCCTACCCTCTTTCATTTTTCGCGAACACTCCCTTTAAGACAGAAGACTTAATTTAAACTTGGGATCGTAACATTTTGTAAGTTCCAGGTCGTCTTTACAGTCTCATCCTTTGTGGGTAGTCTTGTATGATAAAAAAAATTCGAATAAACTTGTTTAGGCTAAGAATAATTTCAAATTATAATTATAATTTTAATTGAATGACATACGTGTATAATTTAAAAATAATATCTATTCCCCAAAATGTCAACAAAAATGCAGACACAGGTCCTATCTTTATAGATATATTAATCAAATATTTGGTTCCATGTTGACTGAAAGAATCCAATAAACTGAATAAGCTAAAATTTGTTTACAAAACAGAACATGTGTCATTAAATATATGTCATTATTGTATATTAATATTATAGTACATTATATATATGTCATTATTGTATATTAATATTATATTACATTATATATATGTCATTATTGTATATTAATATTATAGTACATTAGATATATGTCATTAT